TGTGGCTTGGCTGTGTGTGTGTGTGCACGCGTTCAGTTCTATTTGTGCATCGTGTGATATACAAAAAAAGGGTGCGAGTGGGTATTATTTTGAAGGGGCACTCGCGTACATTATTGATGTTAGTTTTGTGCCGGTCAGGGGCTCCCGTCGTAAATAGAAGAAGTGCTCCCCCAACCAACGATGTCTCTTGGCAAAGTGGGCACTGTTTATTTAAGGAAGCTCAAACCAGTGCAGGGTTAAATTTCGATTTAAAGCTTTCGTGACTGCAGCGATTCATGTTCTTGGTTCTCTCGGTAAAGTCACGTAGAAGGGAAACAATAAAATAATAAAAAATATAAAACAATAAAATTCTCACGACGTTTCGACTGCAACACAAGCAATCATCATCAGGTGTGAAAACCACAGCAAGAAAATTTGTTTACTTGCATGCGCAACTCAAGTCAGCTCAAGGGGGCCTTCGAAATGCTCTCAGTATATGACATTAAAAATAAACTTATTTTACCAAGGAAGGGCCCCACCTCGGAGCGGCTGTGTAACTTTTTTTTTTCAGAAACGACCTGGCCACTGCAAATGATCGCTCAACGAAGTGCGTTTGTTGTCGTCGTCATCGTCGTGTGAACATTCACAGCAGCCAAATACTCTAAACGCGTGACGTTGATTCTCAACGTAGACGGGGAAAACTGGAGGAGGGCCCGGAGACGAATCCACGCAGTGACCACCACGGGGAGAGAGAGAAACACAGACTCCAAATACACAGCAGCAGCAGCAGGCGTCGTCAGGCTCGGGATCGAACCCACGACCTCCTGCACACCAGGCGAGGTAGTCAACATCTCTTAGCCACCGCGGCAGCCCCCTTCTGCTTCTATCCGCAGGTCCCGCGGAATGCCCAGCCGGGTCGAGTATTTGGTGATGTATCCATTGCCACGAGTTGTTGTTGTTGTTGTTGTTCCCCCACATTGGCGGCGGCGGCGGCGGCGGCGGCGCCGGCGGCGCCGCCGGCGCCTTTTGTCCCCGCGGGGAGGGTGGGGGGCGGGGGGCGGGGGGTGGGGGGGGGGGGGCTGGTTGACCGGTCCCGGCAAAAATGGTGATGGACAGTTCCGCACGACCGCTCCCTCGCTCGTCCCCTCGCTCTCTCTCGGTTCAACTTTGTCCGCCCCCGTTTGGGCGTTCAAGGTTTTTTTTTTAATCTTTTTGTCCGAAAACAGCGCAGCTGATAGGCAGCGCTCCTTATCCACGACGCAGTTCTCTAAAGTGCGTGGTTGTTTTTTTCGTGTTCACCTTTTTACGATTGTAACAACCACCACCACCGCCACCCCCCACCGCACCAACCTCGCGCCTTCTGGCCGCTCGTGACGCACTCGGAGCCGCGCGTTTACAGCGCCGCGACTTTTGTTCTTTCTCGTCGGCTCGATCTATTTTAAACGCACCGAACGCGCATCATCCTCGCTTGTTGGGCACGCGGGGGCCGCTGCGGTGTTTGTGTGTGCGGGTTACCAGGGGGATGGCCCATCGCCCTGGTAACCCGGAGAGAGAGGGAGAGAAAGAGAGAGAGGTCCAGAATCGGAATCTTGTTTTTAACGACTGGAGGAATCCGTCGCGCTCCGCGCCCGGTGGGTCCGCGTTCTGCCCGTGCCGGGCCGAGGTTCGTGGCACGTTGCCTGGTATGGCGACTGTGGCCATGCGGCCCCGATACGATAACACTGAGCCTCTACAACAAGCATCGGTGAACGCGCTACACCTGGCCGCGCTACACCTGGCAGTGCCACGCGCTACACCTGGCCGTGCCGCGCCGCTACACCTGGCCGTGCCACTACACCTGGCCGTGCCACGCCGCTACACCTGGCCGTGCCACTACACCTGGCCGTGCCACGCCGCTACACCTGGCCGTGCCACTACACCTGGCCGTGCCACGCCGCTACACCTGGCCGTGCCACTACACCTGGCCGTGCCACGCCGCTACACCTGGCCGTGCCACGCCGCTACACCTGGCCCTGCCACGCCTCTACACCTGGCCGTGCCACGCCGCTACACCTGGCCGTGCCACGCCGCTACACCTGGCCGTGCCACCGAGGCCAGGTGGATCTGCGGTGGTGCGAGCGGCTCGCCGTCGGAAGGTCGTGAGTTCAAATCCAAGTTTGAGGGGGTTGACTCAGCCCATCATCCCTCCGATGGCTGATAAATGAGTACCACGTTGGAGGGGGGGGAGGAGAGTGGGGAGTCAATGTTGGTTGCCACATGGTTAAACTCGCCAGCGTCATAGGAATGTGAATCTTCCACATTCCCACGACACTTTTTTTCCTAGGGAGGTCTTGGCAACAAACTACGGAACCAGGTTGGGTGACCACAGATGGTCACCTGGCGCGGCTTTAACAACGCTTGCTGTGCGGCCAGCAATTAACGGCATGATGATCAGTCCTAACTGATAACGAGATCGGTGAACAGCGTCTCTTGGGTTGAGCGAGGTTGTTATTGTTGTGAGAGCTTGGGGCAGTGGAAGAGACGATGGTGGTGGTGATGCTCCTGGTGGTGGTGGTGGGAGGAGGGTATTCCAGAGTGGAGCAGTGCAAGGGAAGAAGCAGAGAGAGAAATGAGGTGACCTGGGTGGGTGACCTGTAGTGGGATGACCTGGGTGGGTGACCTGTAGTGGGTGACTGGGTGGGTGACTGGGTGGGGTGACTGGGTGGGGTGACTGGGTGGGGTGACTGGGTGGGTGACCTGTAGTGGGTGACTGGGTGGGTGACTGGGTGGGGTGACTGGGTGGGTGACCTGTAGTGGGTGACTGGGTGGGTGACTGGGTGGGGTGACTGGGTGGGTGACCTGTAGTGGGTGACTGGGTGGGTGACTGGGTGGGGTGACTGGGTGGGTGACCTGTAGTGGGTGACTGGGTGGGTGACTGGGTGGGTGACCGTCTTTGTAACCTGCCAACCCGCACCCTACTTGGAACATCTGCAGTAAAAAAAAAAAAGCTTCATAGCTCATCGGATTGTCTCCCAGGGTCGTCAGTTAAAGATTCTGATTGCGAGTGAATTCCGTCCCGGTGGTGGGGACACGATTGGCACCAGGGGGGGACGGACAGCGCTGCAGCTGCGGCCACATCTATTCACCGCTCCGTCTCGAGAGCTCGTTTGCACAAGTCCGTGGGGTTGCAGCAGCAGCAGGAAAGTCTTTCTCATGGGGGGCAGGGGGCCGCCATTTCCCCAATGTCCATTCTACTTGTTGCACCCAGGATCCAAGGGCCATGCATTCACCACCCCCCACACGCCTTTTGCCGTCTTTGACGGTGCCGTTTCATTGTCATTTGCGTGACGTTTTTGAGCCCTTTCTGTGGGGTGGACTGTGCTATCGGTATAACTGCGTTATATATAAAAAAACTAAACTATAAACTAACCATCTTATTTTTGGTTTTGCCAGGTGAGCCCCCGCTTAGCTATGTGGCCACAAGTGATAGCTCAACCCCAAGTGGCTTCTCACCATCGCGCGGAAGTTTATAGCAGCAGCCAAATACTCTAAACGCGTGATGTCGATTCTAAATATGGAGGGGAAAAACGGATGATCTGGAGGAAAATCCACACGGCCACGAGCAGAAAGAGACAAACTCCAAATATACATCAGCAGCAGCAGGCGTCGGGGTCTGGATCGGACTCGCAGCCTCCTGTCTACCAGGCGAGGTAGTTAACATCTCCGAGCCACCGTGGCGCCTGAATCACGGCAGCGTGGAAATCTGTGCGTTGAGGAAGCCGGTGGGTGTTGTTTCGGGCTCTCTCCAAAAACCATGCCTGCCTTTGTGAGCGTGATGATGATGATGATAATTCTATCGATATAGCGGCTTTTGATCAAGGATCTCAAAGTGCTGTACAGGACACAGCAGCAGATGGCATGATCATAATAATTATATTATAAACACATTCTAAGAATAGATTCACTAAATGAACTAAGTTTCACAAGCGGAAGCGTATATGCATAGGTTTTAAGACGAGTTAAAAAAAAATGTCCACAGACTCTCAGAGAGAGAGCCCCTCTGATATCTCGTACAAGATTCCCGTAGCCTGGGGGCTACACGGGGAAAGGTCTCGGTCATCCATAGACCGAAGAAGCCTCGACCTAGGAATGCAGAGAGAAGATCTACATCCCCCAGATCGTAGGGACCTTGAGCGGGGACGTAATGGGTGCAGCGTGTAGGCTAGGGCAAGATGATTCACTGCTTTGTTAAGTTAACAATATCATTTTAAACTCGATTTTGTGTGTGTGTGTGTGAATCTGGAAGCCAGTGCAGGGAGGCTGCCCGGTTTAAATGTTCAGTTCGCGAGTCGCATTGCCAAACGCTAGGGGCAGTGGCTTCGGAAGATGGAACCCAACTCCGCCATTGTAAAGTGATGGAGTTGGCGTCGAAAGAGATTTCATTGCTCTTAAATGGTTTGTGTGGTGTGTATCGTGTATGTAGTGTATTGTACAGTGTATTCTCTACATGTGGTGAACTTCTTTTCGTACCGTACGTAGCCAACTGTGCTGATCGCAGTTGCCGGGGGAAGTAAGGCATCTGTGCTCACCTACCGGTTACAGCCCTGCAGAGCCAGCGGTGGGACATTCCACGTTCCCATGGCAGGGGGTGGGTTTATCTGCAGTGTAACAACTCGCTTGCGCACCACCCCCCCCGCCCCCCCCCCTGCAAACCTGGATGTGAGCTCAAGCCCTTCTGATTGCGAGGGGCATCTCGCTTTACCGCTGAGCCACCGAATGTCAAGTGCTGAAATGTTTTTGCTTAAACACCTGGCGGCGCCTTGCTGGCACGAAGCTGCCTCCTCCTCCTCGTCCTCCTCCTCCTCGTCCTCTTCCTCCTCCTCGTCCTCCTCGTCCTCATCGTCGCGGTGTTCACAATCGATTTGGATTTTTTGTGTAACTTGTTGACTTGGCCACGCTGCTTGATTTGTTGTTTGTATCCACCCGTGGAGATGCGAGGGCCCGAATTTTAAAAACTGCTCCCGTCTGCCCCGTCGCTTCAGAGAGTCCCGCCGGGAGCGACCGAGCCGGCGGGGGGAGCCACCGACCGAGCCGGCCGGGGGAGCCACCGATTCCGGCCACGCGGGGAGCAACTCGCCGCCGCCACCACCGTGGTGAGCCGACGACGCGTGCCGAGCGGCTTGACACGTGCCGAGCCCTGCCGCCGCCGCCACCGTGGTGAGCCGACGACGCGTGCCGAGCGGCTTGACACGTGCCGAGCGGCTTGACGCGTGCCGAGCCCTGCCGCCGCCACCACCGTGGTGAGCCGACGACGCGTGCCGAGCGGCTTGACACGTGCCGAGCCCTGCCGCCGCCACCACCGTGGTGAGCCGACGACGCGTGCCGAGCGGCTTGACACGTGCCGAGCCCTGCGAGGGTTGCGGCCCCTAGGGGGAGGGCGAGGAGGAGGGGGAGGAGGAGGGCGAGGAGGAGGGGGAGGAGGAGGGTGAGGAGGAGGAGGAGGACTCGCGCTGGTACAGAGAGGAAGAGTTGTCGTCGGGCCGCGAGGTTGATGATGGACGTGTGACCCCCGTTCTGTGGTGTGTGTATGTGTGTGGTGTGTGTATGTGTGTGTCTCTGTGGTGTGTGTATGTGTGTGTGTCTCTGTGGTGTGTGTGTGTGGTGTGTGTGTGTCTCTGTGGTGTGTGTGTGTGTCTCTGTGGTGTGTGTGTGTGGTGTGTGTGTGCGTCTCTGTGGTGTGTCTCTGTGGTGTGTGTGTGTGTCTGTGGTGTGTGTGTGTCTGTGGTGTGTGTGTGTGTCTGTGGTTTGTGTCTGTGGTGTGTGTGTGTGTCTCTGTGTCTCTGTGGTGTGTCTGTCTGTCTCTGTGGTGTGTCTGTCTGTCTCTGTGGTGTGTCTGTCTGTGTGGTGTTTGTGTCTGTCTGTCTGTCTGTGTGGTGTGTGGTGTGTGTCTGTCTGTCTGTGTGGTGTGTGTCTGTCTGTCTGTGTGGTGTGTGTCTGTCTGTCTGTGTGGTGTGTGTCTGTCTGTCTGTGTGGTGTGTGTCTGTCTGTCTGTGTGGTGTGTGTCTGTCTGTCTGTGTGGTGTGTGTCTGTCTGTCTGTGTGGTGTGTGTCTGTCTGTGTGTGTCTGTGTGTGTCTGTCTGTCTGTCTGTGTGGTGTGTGTGTGTGTGTGTCTGTCTGTCTGTCTGTCTGTGTGGTGTGTGTGTCTGTCTGTCTGCGTGGTGTGTGTGTCTGTGTGGTGTGTGTGTCACGTGGGGGAGCGGTGGTGTAGTGGTTAGCGCTAAGCTGCACTATGAACCTGGCAGCCCAGGTGCGATTCCCGCTCACGGCCAACACCGGTGACGATTATCCGAACCGGTCCTGGGCCTCCCCTAGGTCGAGTCGGCCTCAAATGAGTACCTGGTGCAGTGGTGTGTAAACATCGTCACTGGGGAGACAAAGGCGGCCGGGCGTGGTGCTGGCCACCCACCCCCTCGTGTGCCGTGCCGGCCTTCACAGGTGCTGCTACTCGCTAACAGCACTTGCCCCAACAGTCTGTTACAGCTACACGGGGGATCTTTGTTTTTTTCGTGCGTCCTTCTGGTGCGGTGTGTTGACATTCGTGTCTATTTATCTCTGGCTCTCTACGTATCTCTCTCTCTTGTCGCTGTGTGTCTCGAGGTATTTCGGTAATGAATGCCATGAAGTGAATGATTACATTAATGGTGCCCAGCGCATGTAACAGCCCAGGGCGTGGCATTCCTCCTGTGGCTGATGTTGTCGACTGTCACAGCTTTGGGTTTACATTGCGGTGGGTGATGATGATGATGAGGTGGTTGTTGATGAGGTGGATGATGATGATGGCTCCTGCAATTCTCCTCTGCTGTCTCCCTGCCTCTGTCCCTCACTGCGCCCCAACGAATTCAAAACTCCTCAACGCTCCGTTCCACTGTCTTGTTTAACTCTCCCGGTCAACTCTCCCGTTCAACTCTCCCGTGTAACTCTCCCGTGTAACTCTCCCGTTTAACTCTCCCGTTCCACTCTCCCGTTTAACTCTCCCGTTCCACTGTCCCGTTCCACTGTCCCGTTTAACTCTCCCGTGTAACGTGCCCTCCGTTACGGCCACTCACTCCTCGACCCTTGCACTACCCCTGCCATCTTAAATCACCTCTCTTGTTGTTCCCGCTCTCAAAATGAGTCAAAGCGCCGTGAGCCAAGGTGTTCTATAAAAATAAAATAAGATAAGGGGCAGGGAGTGCCATTTCACCGCTGTGATGATGCCTCCTTCTTAGAATCTAAGGGTCTCTGTGCGAGTCTATGGATCTCTGTGCGAGTCTATGGGTCTCTGTGCGAGTCTATGGGTCTCTGTGCGAGTCTATGGGTCTCTGTGCGAGTCTATGGGTCTCTGTGCGAGTCTATGGGTCTCTTTGCGAGTCTATGGGTCTCTGTGCGAGTCTATGGGTCTCTGTGCGAGTCTATGGGTCTCTGTGCGAGTCTGTGGATCTCTGTGCGAGTCTGTGGATCTCTGTGCGAGTCTGTGGATCTCTGTGCGAGTCTGTGGATCTCTGTGCGAGTCTGTGGGTCTCTGTGCGAGTCTATGGGTCTCTGTCCTCCATGTGGCTGATGACGTTAATGCAGAGCAGCAGTTGTACGAGGTGGTTGATGAGCCACGTGATTGCATCTTGAATAGTGGAGTGGTGAATCATCGCTGCTCGGGTGATGATGATGATGAAGATGATGCTGATTTTGTACAGATCTCTGTGTGGGTCTTAGGGTGTGTGGGTCTCAATGTGAATCCATCGAGCGCTGAGTCTAAGGGTCTCTATGCCAGTCTATGGGTCTGTGAGTCTATAGATGATGATCCCTCCGTGTTTGTGAACAGAATCCACGTGGGGTGCGGTGGCGAGATGTTCATTCCCTCGCTTTGTATGCAGGAGGTCGTGGCTTCAATCGCAACACTGACACCTGCTCTATATTTGGAGTTTGCGCGTCTCTCTTTCCCCCTGGTTGCCTGGATTATTCTCCGCGTTCTGCGGCTTTTTCCTCCATTTATAATCATTCTCATCGTCATCGGCTATCCGCGTCGTCATCGTCGTCAGCTATCCGAATCGTCATCATCATCATCCGCGTCGTCATCGTCGTCAGCTATCCAAATCGTCATCATCATCCGCTATCCGCGTCGTCATCGTCGTCAGATATCCGAATCGTCATCATCATCCGCGTCATCATCATCGTCAGCTATCCGAATCGTCATCATCATCATCATCATCCGCTATCCGCGTCGTCATCGTCGTCAGCTATCCGAATCGTCATCGTCAGCTACCCGCTTGCCATCAGCTATTCACATCATCATCATCGTCCTCGTTAGCTATCTGCATTGTCAGCTCTTGCCATGGTTGGTGCAGTGGAGGATAGCGGCTGGAGGTCTCATCCGGGGGATCTTCTGCACCACCGATGCAGACGCACGCAGATACTAGTCGTCTCCAGTATCTGCATGCGTCTGCATCTCCGTGTCTGCGCGTGTCTTCATGTCTGTGCGTGCGTGTCTCTTCGTGCCCGTGCGTGCGTCTTCACGTCTGCGCGTGGCCCGCAGACAAAGTCCCGGGGACGTCCTCTCTCCGCCGCGCGCCATGGATCGCCACACCACCGCCAAGCAGCTGTACGGTACGTGCGGCACGCGCCGGACAATGCTAAATAAATAAAAAACGCCGCCGCCCAGCGCCCGTGTTTATAGCAACGCCGCGGCTGCGGCGGTCGCTATTATCTAATCGCGGGAGGCGTGATAGCCGCGCCGTCGGGACGTGCCGCTTGGAACGCCACCGCCGCCGCCGCTGTCGGCTCTCGTCGATTTGGGGGCTTTTGAAGCGGAGAGAGGATTGGTCCGGCGCGTGCGATGGGCATGTGTCTGTGGGGTGGTCGTGGTGGGACGTCGCTGGCAGGTGAGGTTTTTCGTGCGCGCGGCGAGCACGCACGCGAACGACAACAACAACAACGGCTGCCACCATCCGCAACAAGGTGGCGGTGACGTCACCACGGCGCTTGTGCCAGGCCAGGTGTGCGCTTTGAGGCCACGTGAAGTGTCGAAGGCTCGCTGGCGGGAGGTGGTCACGGGACAGACCCAGGAGCCATGGGTTGACCAACTCGGATGACTGGCAGATGCACACCAGCTGTGCCCCCTATTGTGCTAATTTTCTGCGTTTTAGCCGCCCGATGCTCCGCTCGTTGTTGTGAGCGTCGCTCCTCTGCCCGCCGTTGTTGCTGGAGGGCGACTGCCTCCAACTGCCCAGTAGCAGCGTCCTTCACGAGCCTCCTCCATAGACACGCGCACACACACGTGTGTACGTACACACACGCGTGTGTGTACGTACACACACGCGTGTGTGTACGTGAAGTGGCTCGTCGCTGTGGGTCGGACGATGGGCGCCGTGGGTGACTGTGGGGCTTTGCGAGCTTGATGCAGGGCGGCAGCCGGGTGGGTGCTCCCGAGAGCGGCATGGTGGAAACATTCTCCTTCGCAAAAGTGAAGCAAACAGCAGAGGGACAGCAAGACATAGATCAGAGCAGAGACAGCAAGACATAGATCAGAGCAGAGAGACAGCAAGACATAGATCAGAGAGACAGCAAGACAGAGATCAGAGCAGAGAGACAGCAAGACAGAGATCAGAGCAGAGAGACAGCAAGACATAGATCAGAGCAGAGAGACAGCAAGACATAGATCAGAGCAGAGAGACAGCAAGACAGCGATCAGAGCAAAGAGACAGCAAGACATAGATCAGAGCAGAGAGACAGTAAAACATAGATCAGAGCAGAGAGACAGCAAGACATAGATCAGAGCAGAGAGACAGCAAGACAGAGATCAGAGCAGAGAGACAGCAAGACGGAGATCAGAGAGACAGCAAGACAGAGATCAGAGCAGAGACACAGCAAGACATAGAGCAGAGAGACAGCAAGACGGAGATCAGAGAGACAGCAAGACGCAGATCAGATCAGAGAGACAGCGAGACGGAGATCAGAGCAGAGAGACAGCAAGACATAGATCAGAGCAGAGAGACAGCAAGATGGAGATCAGAGAGACAGCAAGACGGAGATCAGAGAGACAGCGAGACGTAGATCAGAGCAGAGAGACAGCAAGACGTAGATCAGAGCAGAGAGACAGCAAGATGGAGATCAGAGAGACACAAGACGTAGATCAGAGAGACAGCAAGACGGAGATCATAGCAGAGAGACAGCAAGACGGAGATCAGAGCAGAGAGACAGCAAGACATAGATCAGAGCAGAGAGACAGCAAGACGGAGATCAGAGAGACAGCAAGAAGTAGATCAGAGCAGAGAGACAGCGAGACGGAGACCAGAGCAGAGAGACAGCAAGACGGAGATCTGAGCAGAGACAACTGCGTTAACGAAAAACAAATCAATGCAATACTCAAACAACAGTTGGAAGGAGATGCATCTGCTGTGACCATAATTGTCCCGGACAAAATTCCTCTTGAAAAAGCCATCCGGAGAGAATCCCAGGTTAGAGAAAAGACCGAACAATCGCCACAGCCGCTCGAAGCTACGGCACGCTGCCCCCCGGGTCCGGTGTAGCCGGCGTGCACTGTGCACCGCGTGGAGCTCGCTTGCACAGGGAGAGAGAGAGAGAGAGGGGCCTTTGTCTCTCTCTCTCTTTCTCTCTCCAGCGGCGGCGTCGTAAAGTTCCCGGGCGCGGCGGTGAGCGCCGAGACGTCTCGCGGTCGGAACCGCCATCGACTTTCTGCCGCGCACCGCACGCAAAGTTTACCCGCGTCGGCGGCGGACGGTGGCACGGGGTTGGTGGGATGTGGGGCGTTTGACAGCGGTCCCAATCGGCGTTTTGTCGCTCCCGTCGCTCCGTCTGTCCGTTCACCCGTCCCTGCGTCCGTCGTCCGTCCATTCACACGGTGGGTCGTCGTCGTCGCCGCGACGAGGATGACCCCTGACTGAACGCCGCATAGCTGCCAGGGTGTGGGTGGGGGGGACTGCCTTGTGCAAAAAGTAGCGAACCGGTCCCGGGCCCTCCCCTAGCTTCACTCGGTCCCAAATGAGTAACCGGCGCGGTGTGCGAACGTCGCCACCGGGGAGACAAAGGCGGTCGGGCGTGGCGCTCACCGCTCGCCCCCCCCCCCCCCCGTGCGGCACGGCGGCGGCCTTCATAGTTGCCGCTGCTCGCTACTAACGGCACTTGCCCCGACGGTCTGTCGGAGGCTTTCCGCTAGGGGCGGTGGATCTTCGTCTTTTGTGTGTGAAAAGTCTTCCCCCGAGCTTGGGGGGGGGGGGGAGCGCGTCGCCGCCGAGGGCTCCAGCGTCCTCACTCTGCGAGAGTCCCACACGCCACCGGAGCTGCCTCGGTGGGGGTCGCCAAAAACTAACAACAACAACAACAACAAGGGACCCGTTGTTGTTTTTTGCTCGAACTCTGTCACCACAAAAAACAAAACCGAAACGACTCGCGTGATTCAAGAGCCGCACCGTGCGGTGAACGCGAGAGAGGAGAGGAGACGGCGGCAGTCCTCGATAAACCGGCGTCACGGAGGGGGCCTTGGAGGGTCCGCACGTGACTCCGTGTCGCGCAGGGTGCCGAACCCTGACCCCCCACGTGTCTCCGTACAATAGGGATTGCCCCTCTCCCCCGCCCCGCTATCCGAGGCCGTGCCCTGCCCCGTGACGTGAGGCCGTGCGGGGTGCTGTGTTGTCCCACCAGAGCAACGCAAGAACTATGCTCGCTCCAGCAACATCAAGGCCGAAACGGCACAGTACCACGTGGAGGTGAGCGCTGCGTCGCGTGCGTGGGGGTGTGCGTGTGCTGCTGTGTGTGGACACGTGTGTGTGTGTGTGTGGACACGTGTGTGTGTGTGTGGACACGTGTGTGTGTGTGTGTGTGGACACGTGTGTGGACACGTGTGTGTGGACACGTGTGTGTGTGTGTGTACACGCGTGTGTGTGTGGACACGTGTGTGTGTGTACACGTGTGTGTGTGTGTGGACACGTGTGTGTGTGTGTGTGTGTGGACACGTGTGTGTGTGTGTGTGTGGACGCGTGTTTGTGTGGACACGTGTGTGGACACGTGTGTGTGTGTGTGTGTGGACGCGTGTGTGTGTGGACACGTGTGTGTGTGTGTGGACACGTGTGTGTGTGTGTGGACACGTGTGTGTGTGTGTGTGGACACGTGTGTGTGTGTGTGTGGACACGTGTGTGTGTGTGTGTGGACACGTGTGTGTGTGTGTGGACGCGTGTTTAGAATGAACGTCACGCGTTCAGAGTTTTTGGCTGCTGCGACAGATATCCACGCTGACGATGAGCCACTACGTTGAGCAGGCCATCAGGTCGCCTCCGGAAGACGGCTACGAAGCTCAGTAGCGGGGCCTCGCACCTGGTGAAATAAAACTAGATTGCTAGCTTATATGTGAGTTCATCATTTAATTTTGTAGATCGCAGCTACCGAGCGAGCACGGTCCACCCTGCGGAAAGGCCCCCCAAGAAACGTCGAGCGGACGACGTTCAAACGGCACCCGGGAGGAATGCGTGCACTTGCCCCGACAGCTTGGAGAAGGCTATACGGGGGTGGGATCTTTTGTCTGTGCTCTGTGGCCGTAACCACGCCCCCGCCCCCGCCCCCCCCAGCACCTCTCCACCTTTGAGATGGACCGCAAGGAGGGCCTCGTGAACCTGGAGGACGGCATCCGGCGCCTGCGGCTGCTGGACTCGACGGGCAAGATCTGGACGCAGGACATGCTGCTGCAAGTGGACGAGCGCTCCGTGGCGCTCGTGGACATTGAGAGCAAGGTGGGGGTACCCCGCCAACCCCCCTCCCCCCCCCCCCCCCGTCAGTCAGAGTGAGTGAGTGGAGTTTGTGTGATCTCCCACTGTTCTACACAGTGAGTGGAGTTTGTGTGACCTCCCCCTGTTCTACAGAGTGAGTGGCGTTTGTGTGATCTCCCCCTGTTCTACAGAGTGAGTGAGTGGAGTTTGTATGATCTCCCCATGTTCTACAGAGTGAGTGAGTGGAGTTTGTATGATCTCCCACTGTTCTACAGAGTGAGTGAGTGGAGTTTGTGTGATCTCCCCCTGTTCTACAGAGTGAGTGAGTGGAGTTTGTATGATCTCCCCCTGTTCTACAGAGTGAGTGGAGTTTGTATGACCTCCCCCTGTTCTACAGAGTGAGTGAGTGGAGTTTGTATGATCTCCCCCTGTTCTACAGAGTGAGTGGAGTTTGTGTGATCTCCCACTGTTCTACAGAGTGAGAGTGAGTGGAGTTTGTGTGATCTCCTCCTGTTCTACAGAGTGAGTGGAGTTTGTGTGACCTCCCCCTGTTCTACAGAGTGAGTGGAGTTTGTGTGACCTCCCCCTGTTCTACAGAGTGAGTGGAGTTTGTATGATCTCCCCCTGTTCTACAGAGTGAGTGAGTGGAGTTTGTATGATCTCCCCTTGTTCTACAGAGTGAGTGAGTGGAGTTTGTATGATCTTCCCCTGTTCTACAGAGTGAGTGGAGATTGTATGATCTCCCCCTGTTCTACAGAGTGAGTGAGTGGAGTTTGTGTGATCTCCCCCTGTTCTACAGAGTGAGTGAGTGGAGTTTGTGTGATATCTCTCCCTGTTCTACAGAGTGAGTGAGTGGAGTTTGTGTGATCTCCCCCTGTTCTACAGAGTGAGTGAGTGGAGTTTGTATGATCTTCCCCTGTTCTACAGAGTGAGTGGAGATTGTATGATCTCCCCCTGTTCTACAGAGTGAGTGAGTGGAGTTTGTGTGATCTCCCCCTGTTCTACAGAGTGAGTGAGTGGAGTTTGTGTGATATCTCCCCCTGTTCTACAGAGTGAGTGAGTGGAGTTTGTGTGATCTCCCCCTGTTCTACAGAGTGAGTGAGTGGAGTTTGTATGATCTCCCCCTGTTCTACAGAGTGAGTGGAGCTTGTGTGATCTCCCCCTGTTCTACAGAGTGAGTGAGTGGAGTTTGTATGATCTCCCCCTGTTCTACAGAGTGAGTGGAGTTTGTGTGATCTCCCCCTGTTCTACAGAGTGAGTGCGTGGAGTTTGTGTGATCTCCCCCTGTTATACAGAGTGAGTGGAGTTTGTATGATCTCCCCCTGTCCTACAGAGTGAGTGAGTGGAGTTTGTATGATCTCCCCCTGTTCTACAGAGTGAGTGAGTGGAGTTTGTGTGATCTCCCCCTGTTCTACAGAGTGAGTGAGTGGAGTTTGTATGATCTCCCCCTGTTCTACAGAGTGAGTGAGTGGAGTTTGTGTGATCTCCCCCTATTATACAGAGTGAGTGGAGTTTGTGTGATCTCCCCCTGTTCTACAGAGTGAGCGAGTGGAGTTTGTATGATCTTCCCCTGTTCTACAGAGTGAGTGGAGATTGTATGATCTCCCCCTGTTCTACAGAGTGAGTGAGTGGAGTTTGTGTGATCTCCCCCTGTTCTACAGAGTGAGTGAGTGGAGTTTGTGTGATCTCCCCCTGTTCTACAGAGTGAGTGAGTGGAGTTTGTGTGATCTCCCCCTGTTCTACAGAGTGAGTGAGTGGAGTTTGTGTGATCTCCCCCTGTTCTACAGAGTGAGTGAGTGGAGTTTGTGTGATCTCCCCCTGTTCTACAGAGTGAGTGAGTGGAGTTTGTGTGATCTCCCCCTGTTCTACAGAGTGAGTGAGTGGAGTTTGTATGATCTCCCCCTGTTCTACAGAGTGAGTGAGTGGAGTTTGTATGATCTCCCCCTGTTCTACAGAGTGAGTGGAGTTTGTGTGATCTCCCCCTGTTCTACAGAGTGAGTGAGTGGAGTTTGTGTGATCTCCCCCTGTTATACAGAGTGAGTGGAGTTTGTATGATCTCCCACTGTTCTACAGAGTGAGTGAGTGAAGTTTGTATGATCTCCCCCTGTTATACAGAATGAGTGAGTGGAGTTTGTATGATCTCCCCCTGTCCTACAGAGTGAGTGAGTGGAGTTTGTATGATCTCCCCCTGTCCTACAGAGTGAGTGAGTGGAGTTTGTATGATCTCCCCCTGTTCTACAGAGTGAGTGAGTGGAGTTTGTATGATCTCCCCCTGTTCTACAAAGTGAGTAAGTGGAGTTTGTATGATCTCCCCCTGTTATACAGAGTGAGTGGAGTTTGTATGATCTCCCACTGTTCTACAGAGTGAGTGGAGTTTGTATGATCTCCCACTGTTCTACAGAGTGAGTGAGTGAAGTTTGTGTGATCTCCCCCTGTTCTACAGAGTGAGTGAATGGAGTTTGTATGATCTCCCCCTGTTCTACAGAGTGAGTGAGTGGAGTTTGTGTGATCTCCCGCTGGCGAACGCCGCGCGACTCCGTGTGTGTCCGTGCGTTCCCAGGAGGAGCTGGAGAACTTCACGCTCACCTCCATCATATCGTGTCAAGCCGTGCTCACAGAGCCCAACTACAGTTCCATCCTGGCCCTCATTTGCACCGACGTGGGCCAGGCCAAGCCAGACCTGCACCTCTTCCACTGCGTCGAGGTTGGGGTGAGTGATCGCAGTCGCGTCCGCATCGGGCCGGAATCTCGACGCGCCTCCGATTTTTTAGCACTGGTGGCCACACGTACGGTGCGAAGGAAGTTAATCGTCCAGACAAAGACGAAACAAAGACCAACGGTCCGTTGAGGCTATACGAGGGGTTGGGGGGGGGATACACCACCCACTACGCCACCCACTACGCCACCCGCTACACCACCCACTACACCACCCGCTACACCACCCGCTACACCACCCACTACACCACCCACTACACCACCCACTACACCACCCACTACACCACCCACTACGCCACCCACTACGCCACCCACTACGCCACCCACTACTCCACCCACTACACCACCCACTACACCACCCGCTACACGACCATGCTCTTTGGTTCTTTTGGTAAAGTCACGTAGGTAGAAAAATAATAATAGTAATAATAAATCAAAATAATAATAGTAATAATAAATCACGACGTTTCTATCGCAACGCAAGCGGTCGTCCACAGGCGGAACAAAATAATCCAGCGGTGGAACCGCTGAGCCAGCGAGAGAGAGCAGCTACGACAACAAGAGGCGTTATATACGTGGTGATGGGCAAGCAGGCGGGGTCTGAGCTGGAAAGGAATTCCATCCCCGGACGCAAGCACGTCAGTTGTGTCAAGGGGGGAGATTAGGGAGAGAGAGATTAGGGAGTGAGATTAGCATGAAATGAGCTTCTGTCGCCGCATAAGATTATCGCCCCCACATATGCGACCGCTCAATTTGTATCACGCTGCATGGACAAGGATCACCCCCCCCCCCCCAATAGCCTTAACAGACTTGCGCCAAGTGCTCTTAGCGAGGTAGCAGCACGTAATGAAGGCCGGCACGGCACAGGAGGGGTTTGGTGGCCAGCAACCACGCCCGGCCGCCTTTGTCTCCCTAGAAGCGATGTTTACACACACAAAGACAACATTGGGGTGACGAGCTCGGGCCCGGAGTCCCAGAAACATCGCCATCGTGGTCGTCGTCCTCTCCAGCATGATGATGATGAGTAAAATGCGTACTACTTTGTGGGGAAATCATCAGTGGATTGACGAGCCCCCTGTCCTTCCTCCCCGCCATAGGAATGTGGAATTTCCACCACCAAAATGAGTAGTACCTTGTGGGGAAGTCAACAGTCATGTGGCTCGCCCCCTTTTAACAACAACAACAACCCCCATCTCTCGCCCATCACCCTACCGCTCACTAACCCTGACCCCCAGCTACGACCAGCCTGACCCCTACCCCTATCACTACCCCCACCCATATCACTACCCCTACCACTATCACTACCCCTTCCACTATCACTACCCCTACCACTATCACTACCCCTACCACTATCACTACCCCTACCACTATCACTACCCCTACCACTATCACTACCCCTACCACTATCACTACCCCCACCCATATCACTACCCCTACCACTATCACTACCCCTATCACTACCCCTACCCATATCACTACCCCTACCCATATCACTCCCCCTACCACTATCACTACCGCCACCCATATCACTACCCCTACCCCTATCACTACCCCTACCCATATCACTACCCCCACCCATATCACTACCCCCACCCATATCACTACCCCTACCACTACCCCAACCACTATCACTACCCCCACCCATATCACTACCCCCACCCATATCACTACCCCCACCCATATCACTACCCCTACCACTATCACTACCCCCACCCATATCACTACCCCTACCCCTATCACTACCCCCACCAATATCACTACCCCTACCACTATCACTACCCCCACCCATATCACTACCCCTATCACTACCCCCACCCATTTCACTACCCCTACCCTATCACTACCCCCACCCATTTCACTACCCCTACCCCTATCACTACCCCCACCCATATCACTACCCCTACCACTATCACTACACCAAACCCCTATCACTACCCCTACCACTATCACTACCCCAACCCCTATCACTACCCTTATCACTACAACTACCACTATCACTACCCCCACCCATATCACTACCCCTACCACTATCACTACCCCTACCACTACCCCAACCCCGATCACTACCCCAACCCCTATCACTACCCTTATCACTACACCTACCACTATCACTACCCCAACCCCTATTACTACCACTATCACACTACCCATACCCAACCCCTATCACTACCACTATCACTACCCATACCCAACCACTATCACTACCCATACCCAACCCCTACCACTTCCCCAACCCCTGTCACTACCCATACCCAACCCCTATCACTACCTCAACCCGTACCACTACCCTTACCCCTCCTTCACCACTCCCACCTGTCCTCATCACCGTCACCATGACGACACCACCACCACTCCGAATAACAACCACCGTCCTCTCTTCAGTTCAACCCACCCAAACATTCTTTACTGCCACAAGGCGACCTTGGATTTTTCGGCGCTGCTGTAATAATACGTCTGTACGAGATAAGATAAGTGCCCGGTCCCCGTTTAAACCCGTAGTGAGAGAGAGCGAGAGAGCGTGAGAGCTATCTCTCTATTACTCGAATCACCTTCCAGGTTGTCTGCGCTTCTCCGTGACCCTGTTAGGCTGTCCCCACGCCTCCCTTCGCCGGCCTGTTGCCACGGCCACCGCCAGCGGGGAGCGGCTGGCTCCCTCGGCGTCCGGTCCGCCGGATGTGAATTTACAACGATGCTAATTATATTCTTGGTTCTTTCGGTAAAGCCACGTAGAAGGGAAACAATAAAATAATACAAATATTTGTGACTTTACCGAAAGAACCAAGAATATGAATCCCTGCAGTCACGAAAGCTTTTTAAATCAAAACGATCCTAATTGTTTTCTTTCCGTGTATAAAATATATTTGTATACAGCGTCGTAATTCGTGCCAATTCGCTTGACGACGAGCGTGGGGTAGGGGAAGGGCAGCAGCCTCAACCGCCGCTACCAAACGATTCCCCAAGCTCTGAGATCCTAAAACCAGTTGAGGCCCCGCACTGAGCTGCCAGGTCGCTTCCGTTGACAGCCTCAACGAAAGTGGCTCCTCGTCGTCATCATCGTCATCATCATCGTGCGGACATTTATAACGGCAGCCAAATAATTCTGAACGCTTGGCGATGTCGGTTCTAAATCTGGAGAGGGGGGAAAACCGGAGGGCTCCTGGACAAAAATCCACGCAACCACTTGAGGGAGAGAGAGAGACGCAAACTCCAAATATACAGCAGCAGCAGCAGGCATCGTCAGGGTCGGGATCGAACCCACGACCTCCTGCGTACCAGGCGAGGTGGTTAACATCTCATAGCCACCGTGGTGATGTTTGTGTGCTGCTCGCAGGCTGAACTGATCAAGAATGACATCGACAGCGCCATCGCTGACAGCAAGGATGGTCGCAAGAACCGGCGGCCCGAGACGCTGAGGTTGGTGGTGCGGGCAGCTGTGGGGCAGCTGTGGGGCAGCTGTGGGGCAGCTGTGGGGCAGCTGTGGGGCAGCTGTGGGGCAGCTGTGGGGCTGACTGGGGACATATGTAGAGAGAGTGTCTGGGCTGCTGTGGTGGGTTAGGAAGTGGTGGGGGAGTGCTGTAACACAAAGACCCCTCCAAGTGCTCTTGTGGCCTTAGAACTCCTCCGATTAGCACGATTGGCTACGTACGGTGCGAAATACGTTGAACATACACGTACACACACGCGTACACACGTACACACACACGTACACACACACACGTGTGCACGGAGCCTGCTGAGGATTTAATGGCAGTATAGGGTAAACAACTTGTAGGTTGGGAATGGGAGGAGGTAGTGATGGGTGGGACACGTGGTGTGTAGGGTGTAGGAGGTAGTGATGGGTGGGACACGTGGTGTGTAGGGTGTAGGCGGTAGTGATGGGTGGGACACGTGGTGTGTAGGGTGTAGGAGGTAGTGATGGGTGGGGCACGTGGTGTGTAGGGTGTAGGAGGTAGTGATGGGTGGGACACGTGGTGTGTAGGGTGTAGGAGGTAGTGATGGGTGGGACACGTGGTGTGTAGGGTGTAGGAGGTAGTGATGGGTGGGACACGTGGTGTGTAGGGTGTAGGAGGTAGTGATGGGTGGGACACGTGGTGTGTAGGGTGTAGGAGGTAGTGATGGGTGGGACACGTGGTGTGTAGGGTGTAGGAGGTAGTGATGGGTGGGACACGTGGTGTGTAGGGTGTAGGAGGTAGTGATGGGTGGGACACGTGGTGTGTAGGGTGTAGGAGGTAGTGATGGGTGGGACACGTGGTGTGTAGGGTGTAGGAGGTAGTGATGGGTGGGACACGTGGTGTGTAGGGTGTAGGAGGTAGTGATGGGTGGGGCACGTGGTGTGTAGGGTGTAGGAGGTAGTGATGGGGTGGGACACGTGGTGTGTAGGGTGTAGGAGGTAGTGATGGGTGGGACACGTGGTGTGTAGGGTGTAGGAGGTAGTGATGGGTGGGACACGTGGTGTGTAGGGTGTAGGAGGTAGTGATGGGTGGGACACGTGGTGTGTAGGGTGTAGGAGGTAGTGATGGGTGGGGCACGTGGTGTGTAGGGTGTAGGAGGTAGTGATGGGTGCGACACGTGGTGTGTAGGGTGTAGGAGGTAGTGATGGGTGGGACACGTGGTGTGTAGGGTGTAGGAGGTAGTGATGGGTGGGACACGTGGTGTGTAGGGTGTAGGAGGTAGTGATGGGTGGGACACGTGGTGTGTAGGGTGTAGGAGGTAGTGATGGGTGGGACACGTGGTGTGTAGGGTGTAGGAGGTAGTGATGGGTGGGACACGTGGTGTGTAGGGTGTAGGAGGTAGTGATGGTGGGACACGTGGTGTGTAGGGTGTAGGAGGTAGTGATGGGTGGGACACGTGGTGTGTAGGGTGTAGGAGGTAGTGATGGGTGGGACACGTGGTGTGTAGGGTGTAGGAGGTAGTGATGGGTGGGACACGTGGTGTGTAGGGTGTAGGAGGTAGTGATGGGTGGGACACGTGGTGTGTAGGGTGTAGGAGGTAGTGATGGGTGGGACACGTGGTGTGTAGGGTGTAGGAGGTAGTGATGGGTGGGACACGTGGTGTGTAGGGTGTAGGAGGTAGTGATGGGTGGGACACGTGGTGTGTAGGGTGTAGGAGGTAGTGATGGGTGGGACACGTGGTGTGTAGGGTGTAGGAGGTAGTGATGGGTGGGACACGTGGTGTGTAGGGTGTAGGAGGTAGTGATGGGTGGGACACGTGGTGTGTAGGGTGTAGGAGGTAGTGATGGGTGGGACACGTGGTGTGTAGGGTGTAGGAGGTAGTGATGGGTGGGACACGTGGTGTGTAGGGTGTAGGAGGTAGTGATGGGTGGGACACGTGGTGTGTAGGGTGTAGGAGGTAGTGATGGGTGGGACACGTGGTGTGTAGGGTGTAGGAGGTAGTGATGGGTGGGACACGTGGTGTGTAGGGTGTAGGAGGTAGTGATGGGTGGGACACGTGGTGTGGAGGGTGTAGGAGGTAGTGATGGGTGGGACACGTGGTGTGTAGGGTGTAGGAGGTAGTGATGGGTGGGACACGTGGTGTGTAGGGTGTAGGAGGTAGTGATGGGTGGGACACGTGGTGTGTAGGGTGTAGGAGGTAGTGATGGGTGGGACACGTGGTGTGTAGGGTGTAGGAGGTAGTGATGGGTGGGACACGTGGTGTGTAGGGTGTAGGAGGTAGTGATGGGTGGGACACGTGGTGTGTAGGGTGTAGGAGGTAGTGATGGGTGGGACACGTGGTGTGTAGGGTGTAGGAGGTAGTGATGGGTGGGACACGTGGTGTGTAGGGTGTAGGAGGTAGTGATGGGTGGGACACGTGGTGTGTAGGGTGTAGGAGGTAGTGATGGGTGGGACACGTGGTGTGTAGGGTGTAGGAGGTAGTGATGGGTGGGACACGTGGTGTGTAGGGTGTAGGAGGTAGTGATGGGTGGGACACGTGGTGTGTAGGGTGTAGGAGGTAGTGATGGGTGGGACACGTGGTGTGTAGGGTGTAGGAGGTAGTGATGGGTGGGACACGTGGTGTGGAGGGTGTAGGAGGTAGTGATGGGTGGGACACGTGGTGTGGAGGGTGTAGGAGGTAGTGATGGGTGGGACACGTGGTGTGTAGGGTGTAGGAGGTAGTGATGGGTGGGACACGTGGTGTGTAGGGTGTAGGAGGTAGTGATGGGTGGGACACGTGGTGTGTAGGGTGTAGGAGGTAGTGATGGGTGGGACACGTGGTGTGTAGGGTGTAGGAGGTAGTGATGGGTGGGACACGTGGTGTGTAGGGTGTAGGAGGTAGTGATGGGTGGGACACGTGGTGTGTAGGGTGTAGGAGGTAGTGATGGGTGGGACACGTGGTGTGTAGGGTGTAGGAGGTAGTGATGGGTGGGACACGTGGTGTGTAGGGTGTAGGAGGTAGTGATGGGTGGGACACGTGGTGTGTAGGGTGTAGGAGGTAGTGATGGGTGGGACACGTGGTGTGTAGGGTGTAGGAGGTAGTGATGGGTGGGACACGTGGTGTGTAGGGTGTAGGAGGTAGTGATGGGTGGGACACGTGGTGTGTAGGGTGTAGGAGGTAGTGATGGGTGGGACACGTGGTGTGTAGGGTGTAGGAGGTAGTGATGGGTGGGACACGTGGTGTGTAGGGTGTAGGAGGTAGTGATGGGTGGGACACGTGGTGTGTAGGGTGTAGGAGGTAGTGATGGGTGGGACACGTGGTGTGGAGGGTGTAGGAGGTAGTGATGGGTGGGACACGTGGTGTGTAGGGTGTAGGAGGTAGTGATGGGTGGGACACGTGGTGTGTAGGGTGTAGGAGGTAGTGATGGGTGGGACACGTGGTGTGTAGGGTGTAGGAGGTAGTGATGGGTGGGACACGTGGTGTGGAGGGTGTAGGAGGTAGTGATGGGTGTCACGCGTGCCGCTGCGGCTTCACCCCGACCTTGCGGCGCGCCCGGCCCCGCGGCGGGTCCGCCGGTGCCGTCGCGGCCATGCCACCACCGCCACGGCGTTCGGGGTCTCTCTCTTCGTCGGCTTAAACACTTTGGGATCTTTTTTTCCCTCTCGCCCCCTCCGCCCCTCCGACTGCGCGAGTCGGAACTTGGGTGGCCGAGCGTCACCGCCGCTCGCGGAGATCCGCCGCCCCCTGGTGGCTCCCCAAGCCAGGACACTCCGGGACGAATCTTTAACCTATCGCTCGACTCTCTTACCGTCATGCCGTCCTGGTCAGGGTCCCCACTGAGCTACGAGTAATGTAGCTCCTTTTTTTTTTCCGATGCGACCTGTCTGTCGCAAATGATAGCGCGACGGAAGTGGCGGCTCGTCGTCATCGTCGTCATCGTTGTGTGGACATTCATGGCAGCGGCCAAATCACTCTAAAGGCGTGGTGACGTCCATTCTGAAATGTGGGGGGGGGGGGGGGGGGAAGCGGAGGGCCTGGAGAATAATCCACGCGACCACGGGGAGAGAGAGAGAAAGACCGCAAAAATTTACAGCAGCAGCAGCAGCAGGCATCATCAGGATTGGGATTGAACCCACGACCTCCTGTACACCAGGCGAGGTAGTTAACATCTCCTAGCCACCGTGATGATGATGAGAGAGAGAAGCAGACTCCAAATATACAGCAGCAGCAGCAGGCGTCGTCAGGATTGGGATCGAACCCACGACCTCCTGCACACCAGGCTGCACCAGCAACAAGAGCTTTTGTCCTGCCAGAGTCTCACTCAATAATTTTAATTTGCAAATGCGGCCGGGCATGGCGCTGGCCAGCACCCACCTCCTTCCCTCGTGTGCCACCGTGCCGGCCTTCGTAGGCGCCGCCACCCGCTACTGACAGGCTACATGGGGGGGGGGGGTCTTTGTGTGTGTTTGTGTGATTGTGTGTGATTGTGTGTGATTGTGTGTGGTGTGTGTGTGTGTGTGCTTGCGCGGCGGTGGTGGCGGTGGTGCAGGTTCAACCAGGAGCGCATGAGGATGAGTCCGTCGCCGGCGCCGGGAGCGGCGAGCGTCTACTCGGAGAGTCACTCGCCGGTGTCCAACCGCAGCCGCACGCCCAACGACTTGAGCACACAGGACAGAGGTACGGCGCAAGCCTCGTGCGTCTCACACGCGTGTCATTCACACGCGTGTCATTTACACGCGTGTCATTTACACGCGTGTCATTTACACGCGTGTCATTCACACGCGTGTCATTCACACGCGACTCGCACGGTGCTCTTACCGACACGTGGGAACGTTCACAATCATCAGGCGATGGGCAGCGAGTGGGCGTGCATAATCTCTGTCTGTGCGTGTCTCTGTGTGTGTGTGTCTCTGTGTGTGTGTGTCTCTGTGTGTGTGCGTGTCTCTGTGTGCGTGTCTCTGTGTGTGTGTGTCTGTGTGTGTCTCTGTGTATGTGTGTCTCTGTGTGTGCGTGTCTCTGTGTGTGTGTGTCTCTCTGTGTGTGTGTCTCTCTGTGTGTGTGTCTCTCTGTGTGTGTGTCTCTCTGTGTGTGCGTGTCTCTGTGTGCGTGTCTCTGTCTGTGCGTGTCTCTGTCTGTGCGTGTCTCTGTCTGTGCGTGTCTCTGTCTGTGCGTGTCTCTGTGTGTGCGTGTCTCTGTGTGTGCGTGTCTCTGTGTGTGCGTGTCTCTGTGTGTGCGTGTCTCTGTGTGTGCGTGTCTCTGTGTGTGCGTGTCTCTGTGTGCGTGTCTCTGTGTGCGTGTCTCTGTGTGCCTTACCGTGTCGCTGCTCAGATTCCGACCGCTTTAGCGTCTACTCGCAGGAGTCTGATGAGACTCCGGAAATGATGGCCAAGAGGGTGGACAGAGACGTGGTGAGGCCCCAGCACACACACACACACACGCACACACACACACGCACACACACGAGCACGCACGCACACAGAGACTCACGCACACACGCACACACGCACATACTCTCCCCACCACTTCACCTCCACTCACTCTCCCCACCACCTCACCTCCACTCACTCTCCCCACCACCTCACCTCCACTCACTCTCCCCACCACTTCACCTCCACTCACTCTCCCCACCACCTCACCTCCACTCACTCTCCCCACCACCTCACCTCCACTCACTCTCCCCACCACTTCACCTCCACTCACTCTCCCCCACCACCTCACCTCCACTCACTCTCCCCACCACTTCACCTCCACTCACTCTCCCCACCACTTCACCTCCACTCACTCTCCCCACCACTTCACCTCCACTCACTCTCCCCACCACTTCACCTCCACTCACTCTCCCCACCACCTCACCTCACTCCCTCTCCCCACCACTTCACCTCCACTCACTCTCCCCACCACCTCACCTCCACTCACTCTCCCCACCACTTCACCTCCACTCACTCTCCCCACACCTCACCTCCACTCACTCTCCCCACCACCTCACCTCCACTCACTCTCCCACCACCTCACCTCCACTCACTCTCCCCACCACCTCACCTCCACTCACTCTCCCCACCACTTCACCTCCACTCACTCTCCCCCCCACTTCACCTCCACTCACTCTCCCCACCACCTCACCTCCACTCACTCTCCCCACCACTTCACCTCCACTCACTCTCCCCACCACTTCACCTCCACTCACTCTCCCCCACCACTCACCTCCACACACTCTCCCCACCACCTCACCTCCACTCACTCTCCCCACCACCTCACCTCCACTCACTCTCCCCACCACCTCACCTCCACTCACTCTCCCCACCACCTCACCTCCACTCACTCTCCCCACCACTTCACCTCCACTCACTCTCCCCACCACCTCACCTCCACTCACTCTCCCCACCACTTCACCTCCACTCACTCTCCCCACCACTTCACCTCCACTCACTCTCCCCACCACCTCACCTCCACTCACTCTCCCCACCACTTCACCTCCACTCACTCTCCCCACCACCTCACCTCCACTCACTGTCCCCACCACCTCACCTCCACTCACTCTCCCCACCACCTCACCTCCACTCACTCTCCCCACCACTTCACCTCCACTCACTCTCCCCACCACTTCACCTCCACTCACTCTACCCCACCACTTCACCTCCACTCACTCTCCCCACCACCTCACCTCCACTCACTCTCCCCACCACCTCACCTCCACTCACTCTCCCCACCACCTCACCTCCACTCACTCCCCCCCACCACCTCACCTCCACTCACTCTCCCCACCACCTCACCTCCACTCACTCTCCCCACCACTTCACCTCCACTCACTCTCCCCACCACTTCACCTCCACTCACTCTCCCCACCACCTTCACCTCCACTCACTCTCCCCCACCACTTCACCTCCACTCACTCTCCCCACCACTTCACCTCCACTCACTCTCCCCACCACCTCACCTCCACTCACTCTCCCCACCACCTCACCTCCACTCACTCTCCCCACCACCTCACCTCCACTCACTCTCCCCACCACCTCACCTCCACTCACTCTCCCCACCACTTCACCTCCACTCACTCTCCCCACCACCTCACCTCCACTCACTCTCCCCACCACTTCACCTCCACTCACTCTCACCACCACCTTCACCTCCACTCACTCTCCCCACCACCTCACCTCCACTCACTCTCCCCACCACTTCACCTCCACTCACTCTCCCCACCACCTCACCTCCACTCACTGCTCCCCACCACCTCACCTCCACTCACTCTCCCCACCACCTCACCTCCACTCACCTCTCCCCACCACCTTCACCTCCACTCACTCTCCCCACCACCTCACCTCCACTCACTCTCCCACCACTTCACCTCCACTCACTCTCCCCACCACCTCACCTCCACATCACTCTCCCACCACCTCACCTCCACTCACTCTCCCCCCACCCACCTCCCTCACTCTCCCACCACTCACCTCCACTCACTTCCACCACCTCACCTCCACTCACTCTCCCCACCACCCTCACCTCCACTCACTCTCCCCACCACTTCACCTCCACTTCACTCTCCCCACCACCTCACCTCCACTCACTCTCCCCACCACCTCACCTCCACTCACTTCTCCCCACCACTCACCTCCACTCACTCTCCCCACCACTTCACTCCACTCACTCTCCCACACTCACCTCCCTCACCTCCCCACCACCTCACCTCCACTCACTCTCCCCACCCCCTCACCTCCACTCACTCTCCCCCACCACCTCACCTCCACTCACTCTCCCACCACCTCACCTCCACTCACTCTCCCCACCACTTCACCTCCACTCACTCTCCCCACCACCTCACCTCCACTCACTCTCCCCACCACCTCACCTCCACTCACTCTCCCCACCACCTCACCTCCACTCACTCTCCCCACCACCTCACCTCCACTCACTCTCCCCACCACTTCACCTCCACTCACTCTCCCCACCACTTCACCTCCACTCACTCACCCCACCACCTCACCTCCACTCACTCTCCCCACCACTTCACCTCCACTCACTCTCCCCACCACTTCACCTCCACTCACTCTCCCCACCACTTCACCTTCCACTCACTCTCCCCACCACCTCACCTCCACTCACTCTCCCCACCACCTCACCTCCACTCACTCTCCCCACCACCTCACCTCCACTCACTCTCCCCACCACCTCACCTCCACTCACTCTCCCCACCACCTCACCTCCACTCACTCTCCCCACCACTTCACCTCCACTCACTCTCCCCACCACTTCACCTCCACTCACTCTCCCCACCACCTCACCTCCACTCACTCTCCCCACCACTTCACCTCCACTCACTCTCCCCACCACCTCACCTCCACTCACTCTCCCCACCACCTCACCTCCACTCACTCTCCCCACCACCTCACCTCCACTCACTCTCCCCACCACCTCACCTCCACTCACTCTCCTCACCACTTCACCTCCACTCACTCTCCCCACCACTTCACCTCCACTCACTCTCCCCACCACTTCACCTCCACTCACTCTCCCCACCACTTCACCTCCACTCACTCTCCCCACCACTTCACCTCCACTCACTCTCCCCACCACTTCACCTCCACTCACTCTCCCCACCACCTCACCTCCACTCACTCTCCCCACCACCTCACCTCCACTCACTCTCCCCACCACCTCACCTCCACTCACTCTCCCCACCACTTCACCTCCACTCGTTCCGTGACGTCGTGCGATGCGCCGCCGCTGCCGTGAGGTAGAGGCGCAGCCCCGCAAGAGCTCGCTCGCTCACGCCGCTGCCGGAGAGTTATACCCACGTGCTTTACCCCGCCCCCTCCCCCGCCACCACCACCACGTGGTTAACCCCCTCCCCTCTCCCCCGTCTCCACCGAACGTTTGCAGCAAATCCTGAACCACCTCCTGGACGACATTGAGCTGTTCGTGGCGCGTCTGCAAAAGTCTGCGGAAGCCTACGGGGAGCTGAACAAGCGCAAGAAGGAGAAGAAGGGCAAGCGGAAGGGCGGTGAGCACCCGGCATGGCGGCGGCGGCGTCACGCGGACACCGCGGGACGCTCCGTGACGTGTGACGCGGCGTGCGCGGTGTGTGTGACGCGGTGTGTGTGGCGCGGTGTGTGTGACGCGGTGTGTGTGACGCGGTGTGCGCGGTGTGTGTGGCGCGGTGTGTGTGACGCGGTGTGTGTGACGCGGCGTGCGCGGTGTGTGTGGCGCGGTGTGTGTGACGCGGTGTGTGTGACGCGGTGTGTGTGACGCGGTGTGCGTGGCGCGGTGTGCGTGACGCGGTGCGTGTGGCGCGGTGTGTGTGACGCGGTGTGTGTGACGCGGTGTGTGTGGCGCGGTGTGTGTGGCGCGGTGCGTGTGGCGCGGTGCGTGTGACGCGGTGTGTGTGGCGCGGTGTGTGTGACGCGGTGTGTGTGACGCGGTGTGTGTGACGCGGTGTGTGTGACGCGGTGTGTGTGACGCGGTGTGTGTGACGCGGTGTGTGTGACGCGGTGTGTGTGACGCGGTGTGTGTGATGGAGCTCTGTGCCGTGTGACGCGGTGTGTGTGGCGCGGTGTGCGTGACGCGGTGTGTGTGGCGCGGTGTGTGTAACGCGGTGTGTGTGACGCGGTGCGTGTGACGCGGTGCGTGTGACGCGGTGTGTGTGGCGCGGTGTGTGTGACGCGGTGTGTGTGACGGAGCTCTGTGCCGTGTGACGCGGTGTGTGTCGCGCGGTGTGTGTGACGCGGTGTGTGTGACGCGGTGTGTGTGGCGCGGTGTGTGTGACGCGGTGTGTGACGGAGCTCTGTGCCGTGTGACGCGGCATGCACGTGTGTGTGACGCGGTGTGTGTGACGCGGTGTGTGACGCGGTGTGTGATGCGGTGTGTGTGACGTGGTGTGTGTGACGCGGTGTGTGACGGAGCTCTGTGCCGTGTGACGTAGCATGCGCGTGTGTGTGACACGGTGTGTGACGAGCGTGTTACGCGGTGTGTGACGGAGCTCCGTACCGTGTGACGTGGTGTGTGATGGAGCGTGTGATGCGGCTTGTGACGGAGCTCCATGCTGTGTGACGAGCGTGTGATGCGGTGTGTGATGGAACTCCGTACCGTGTGACGCGGTGTGTGATGAGCGTGTGATGCGGTGTGTGACGGAGCTCCATGCTGTGTGACGGAGCGTGTGATGGAGCTCCATGCTGTGTGACGAGCGTGTGATGCGGTGTGTGACGGAGCTCCATGCTGTGTGACGCGGTGTGTGACGAGCGTGTGATGCGGTGTGTGACGGAGCTCCATGCTGTGTGACGCGGTGTGTGACGAGCGTGTAACGCGGTGTGTGACGGAGCTCCGTGTTGTGCCCTGCTCCAGAGGGTGTGCTCACACTGCGCTCCAAGCCACCACCTCCAGGAGAGTTCCGGGAAATCCTGCAGAAGTTCAAATACTGCTTCAATCTCCTGGTGCGTACACTCACCCACACACTCACCCACACAGCTACCCACACTCACCCACACACTCACCCACCTAGCTACCCACACTCACCCACACAGCTACCCACACTCACCCACACAGCTACCCACACTCACCCACCCAGCTACCCACACTCACCCACACAGCTACCCACACTCACCCACACAGCTAACCACACAGCTACCCACTCTCACCCACCCAGCTACCCACACAGCTACCCACTCTCACGCACCCAGCTACCCACCCAGCTACCCATACTCACCCACACACTCACCCACCCAGCTACCCACTCTCACCCACCCAGCTACCCACACTCACCCACACAGCTACCCACACTCACCCACCCAGCTACCCACCCAGCTACCCACTCTCACCCACCCAGCTACCCACCCAGCTACCCACACTCACCCACACACTCACCCACCCAGCTACCCACTCTCACCCACCCAGCTACCCACACTCACCCACACAGCTACCCACACTCATCCACCCAGCTACCCACACAGCTACCCACTCTCACCCACCCAGCTACCCACTCTCACCCACCCAGCTACCCACCCAGCTACCCACACTCACCCACACACTCACCCACCCAGCTACCCACACTCACCCACCCAGGTACCCACACTCACCCACCCAGCTACCCACACTCACCCACCCAGCTACCCACACTCACCCACACACTCACCCACCCAGCTACCCACACTCACCCACCCAGCAACCCACACTCACCCACCCAGCTACCCACTCTCACCCACCCAGCTACCCACCCAGCTACCCACACTCACCCACCCAGCTACCCACTCTCACCCACCCAGCTACCCACACAGCTACCCACACTCACCCACACACTCACCCACCCAGCTACCCACCCAGCTACCCACACGTATGTTGGACTTCCTCCACACGTGACGTATCCGAGTACGCTAACCGGAGGTGTGTCGCTTTGTGCAGGCGCGGCTCAAAGGGCACATCCAGAACCCCGACTCCACAGAGCTCGTACACTTCCTGTTCACGCCCCTGGAAATGGTGGGTCGCCTGCTGCGTTGGAGGCGGGGGGGGTGCGAGTCTGAGTGTGTGAGTGCGTATGAGTGAGTGCGAGGTGAGTGAGAGTGTGTGTGAGTGAGTGCGAGGTGAGTGAGTGTGCATGCGAGGTGAGTGAGTGTGTGAGTGAGTGCGAGGTGTGTGAGTGTGTGAGTGAGTGTGTGAGTGAGTGCGAGGTGTGTGAGTGTGTGAGTGAGTGTGTGAGTGAGTGCGAGGTGTGTGAGTGTGAGTGTGTGAGTGAGTGCGTGAGTGAGTGCGAGGTGAGTGAGTGTGAGTGAGTGCGAGGTGAGTGTGTGGGTGAGTGAGTGTGTGAGTGCGAGGTGAGTGAGAGTGTGTGCGAGTGTGAGTGTCTGTGTGTGTGTGCGAGTATCTGTGTGTGTGTGTGCAAGTGTCTGTGTGTGTGTGAGTGAGTGTCTGTGTGTGTGTGTGAGTGAGTGTCTGTGTGTGTGTGTGTGCGCGAGTGTCTGTGTGTGTGTGTGTGCGCGAGTGTCTGTGTGTGTGTGTGTGCGCGAGTGTCTGTGTGTGTGTGCGCGAGTGTCTGTGTGTGTGCGCGCGAGTGTCTGTGTGTGTGTGTGCGAGTGTCTGTGTGTGTGTGTGCGAGTGTCTGTGTGTGTGTGTGCGAGTGTTTGTGTGTGTGTGTGCGAGTGTTTGTGTGTGTGTGTGCGAGTGTTTGTGTGTGTGAGCGAGTGTCTGTGTGTGTGTGTGCGAGTGTCTGTGTGTGTGTGTGCGCGAGTGTCTGTGTGTGTGTGTGCGCGAGTGTCTGTGTGTGTGTGCGAGTGTCTGTGTGTGTGTGCGCGAGTGTCTGTGTGTGTGTGCGAGTGTCTGTGTGTGTGTGCGCGAGTGTCTGTGTGTGTGTGTGAGTGAGTGTCTGTGTGTGTGTGTGCGCGAGTGACTGTGTGTGTGTGTGCGCGAGTGTCTGTGTGTGTGTGTGAGCGAGTGTCTGTGTGTGTGTGTGAGCGAGTGTCTGTGTGTGAGTGAGTGTCTGTGTGTGTGTGTGCGAGTGTCTGTGTGTGTGTGTGCGAGTGTCTGTGTGTGTGTGAGCGAGTGTCTGTGTGTGTGTGAGCGAGTGTCTGTGTGTGTGTGAGCGAGTGTCTGTGTGTGTGTGAGCGAGTGTCTGTGTGTGTGTGAGCGAGTGTCTGTGTGTGTGTGAGCGAGTGTCTGTGTGTGTGTGAGCGAGTGTCTGTGTGTGTGTGAGCGAGTGTCTGTGTGTGTGTGAGCGAGTGTCTGTGTGTGTGTGAGCGAGTGTCTGTGTGTGTGTGAGCGAGTGTCTGTGTGTGTGTGAGCGAGTGTCTGTGTGTGTGTGAGCGAGTGTCTGTGTGTGTGTGAGCGAGTGTCTGTGTGTGTGTGAGCGAGTGTCTGTGTGTGTGTGAGCGAGTGTCTGTGTGTGTGTGAGCGAGTGTCTGTGTGTGTGTGTGTGCGAGTGTCTGTGTGTGTGTGTGCGAGTGTCTGTGTGTGTGTGTGCGAGTGTCTGTGTGTGTGTGCGAGTGTGTGTGTGCGAGTGTCTGGGTGTGTGTGTGCGAGTGTGTGCGAGTGTCTGGGTGTGTGTGTGCGAGTGTGTGCGAGTGTCTGGGTGTGTGTGTGCGAGTGTGTGCGAGTGTCTGGGTGTGTGTGTGCGAGTGTGTGCGAGTGTCTGTGTGAGTGAGTGTCTGTGTGTGAGTGTGGGGAGCGGTTAGCGCTATGCTGCGCTATGAACCCAACGACCCGGATTCGATTCCCCGATGACAACCAACACCGGTGACGATTACCTGAACCGGTCCTGGGCCTCCCCTAGGTCGACTCAGCCTTAAACGAGTACCTGGTGCGGTGTGTAAACAAGACAAAGGCGGTCGGGCGTGGTGCTGGCCACCTTACCCCCTCGTGTGCCGTGCCGGCATTCACAGGCGCTCGCTAACAGCACTTGCCCCTACAGTCTGTTGAGGCTACACGGGGGATCTTCGTCTTTGTCCGTTCCCAGGTGGTGCACAGCACGGGGGGCCCCGACCTGGCGCGTCTCATCACGAGCCCGCTGCTGACGCGCGACTGCATCGACATGCTGCAGGGATGCCTCGCGGCCAAGGAGAGGGAACTGTGGAAATCGTGCGGGGACGCGTGGAACAAATCCAAGTGAGTCGCTCGCACACACACACACATGCTCGCTCACACGCACGCTCTCACGCCCACACACACTCGCTCATACACACACGCGCACACACACACACACTCGCTTACACGCTCGCTCACACACACACGCTCGCTCACAAACACACACACACACACGCCCACACGCGCTCGCTCACACACACTCGTGCACACGCTCGCTCATACGCGCTCGCACACTTGCTCACGCTCACACGCGCTCGCCCTCCCACGCACACGCTCGCTCACACAAGCGCACGCATTTGCTCGCACACGCATGCGTGCTTACACGCATGCGTGTGTAAGCACGCACACGCACACGCGCAGCCACGGGTGATTTATACCCCTGGACGTGGCACACATCACCACGTGGCACACATCACCACGTGGCGCTCTCTACCCGCGTGCCCTCCGCGTGCCGCACGTCTCGCCGGTTGCCGCGTGTTGCCCTCTCCACGCGCGTCTCTCTGTGGCCACGTGCCCCCCCCCCAGGGCGGAGTGGCCCAGGGACCAGCACGTGCCGCCCTACGTCCCGCGCTTCCGCAGCGGCTGGGAGCCGCCGCTGCTGGACGTGCCGGTGCGCGAGCGCGAGCGCGAGCGTGCTCGTGAGCACGTGGCGGAGCTCGTCGATGGCAGGGGGCCGCCCCTGGCACAGCACCACAACGAGCCCCCCTGGATGCACAGCGAGGTCGGTCGCTCGGCGGTTCCATCCCCCCGAATCGGGGGCAGTGGGGGAGGGGGGTGTGTGCGTGTGTGCGTGTGTGTGTGCGCGTGTGTGTGCGTGTGTGTGCGTGTGTGTGCGCGCGTGTGTGTGTGTGCGTGTGTGCGTGTGTGTGGAGTCTGTCCCGTGTGTTCACTCGGTCCTGTTCTACAGTGTGGGGAGTGTTCATCGTAGAGTTAGTGGTGAGTGACTGATTGAGTGTCAGTCTGAGTGAGTGAGTGTTAGTCTGAGTGAGTGTTAGTGTGAGTGAGTTAGTGCGAGTGGGTAAGTGTTAGTCTGAGTGAGTGTTATTCTGAGTGAGTGTTAGTCTGTGTTATTGCGAGTGGGTGAGTGTTAGTCTGAGTGACTGAGTGTCAGTCTGACACTCAACTGATTGCGAGACCAGGCCCTAAAAAAGTCCGTCTCTGTTGCAGGCCAACAGTATCGAAGACAATGCGCAAATATTATTACGTGAGCCGTGTTTGTGTGCGCGTGTTCAGCGCACAAGCACTCTGCGTGGTTTACACAGCAACTTGATTCCTTGCTAAAACGTTTCCGTTCAGTGTTTGAACACCTTAACACAACTCCTCTTGTTTCCGGGAAGCGTTAACGCCTCTTATTTTATTCTCATTATCTTTCTCTTCATGCTTTTGATCCTGCCAATAAAAGGTCCCGTTTTTATCTGCACGTGTGACCTCTGGATTTGAGCGCCCGGTGGTAGCTCAGCGCGGGGTGGGGGGGGGGGAGTGGGGGGCGTGGACCGACTTCACCCCGGTAAATAAAACGGCGCGGCTTCTGTAATTGTGTTGGCGCCACGGCACGCGCCCGCGAGACACGAAGCACTTTAGGTAATTGCCTGCCAGCGCCCTCTTAGCGCGGTGCCGCAGGAAGGCGGGGGCCGTCCTGCTTTCCCGCAAGCGCCCCGCGCGGCCGCGGAGAAGTCCGGCGCGTCCACCGGGGGGAGTTCCAGAGTCTCCCGAAACGATTGTCGAAAAAAATAATAATCTAGAATTGATTGTCAAAGAGCTTCTGGTGGAACGAGGCGGACGAGCATGATTGATGATGATGATGATTGAGGATGATTGATGATGATTGAGGATGATGATGATGATGATGGGGGGGGGGGGGAGGAGGGAATTCCAAGGAGTGGAGCAGAGAGAGACGTGGTTGTGACCTGCAGCATGGTGAGTGGGTAGGTGGGTGGGTTGGTGAGTGGGTGGGTTGGTGAGTGGGTGGGTTGGTGAGTGGGTGGGTTGGTGAGTGGGTGGGTGGGTTGGTGAGTGGGTGGGTGGGTTGGTGAGTAGGTGAGTGGGTGGCTGAGTGGGTGGCTGAGTGGGTGGCTGAGTGGGTGGCTGAGTGGGTGGCTGAGTGGGTGGCTGAGTGGGTGGCTGGGTGGGTTGGTGGGTGGCTGAATGGGTGGGTGGCTGAATGGGTGGGTGGCTGAATGAGTTGGGTGGGTGGGTGGCCGAGTGGGTGGGTGAGTGAGGTGGGTGAGTGAGGTAGGTGGGTGAGTGAGGTGGGTGGCTGAGTGTCGTTGTACCTCTGCCCCGCGTCGTCTCCCCGCAGCCCGACGGTGCGGCCCACCTCCCCAACAACGGCTACGTCGCCTTCGGTCAGCCGGACCCCTACCATCACGGCCTGCTCCCTCCTGGCGACAGGTGACCTACGACCCCTCCCTCCCCATCCCCCCCCTCCCTCCCTGCTCTCTCCTCTAACCACCCCCACGTCGTCTCTCTCTGACCACCCCCACGACTCTCTCTGACCACCCCCCACGTCCCTCTCTGACCACTCCCACGTCTCTCTCTGACCACTCCCACGGCCCTCTCTGACCACTCCCACGTCTCTGACCACTCCCACGTCTCTGACCACTCCCACGTCTGACCACTCCCACGTCTCTCTCTGACCACCCCCCACGTCTCTCTCTCTGACCACCCCCCGTCTCTCTCTGACCACCCCCCACGTCCCTCTCTAACCACCCCCCACGACTCTCTCTGACCACCCCCCACGTCTCTGGCCACTCCCACGTCTCTCTGGCCACTCCCACGTCTCTCTGACCACCCCCCACGTCTCTGGCCACTCCCACGTCTCTCTCTCTCTGTCCACCCCCCACGACTCTCTCTCTGACCACCCCCCACGTCTCTCTCTGACCACTCCCACGTCTCTCTCTGACCACCCCCCACGTCTCTCTCTCTGACCACCCCCCACGTCTCTCTCTCTGACCACCCCCCACGTCTCTCTCTGACCACTCCCACGTCTCTCTCTGACCACTCCCCACGTCTCTCTCTCTGACCACCCCCCACGTCTCTCTCTGACCACTCCCCACGTCTCTCTCTGACCACCCCCCACGTCCCTCTCTGACCACTCCCCACGTCTCTCTCTCTGACCACCCCCCACGTCTCTCTCTGACCACTCCCCACGTCTCTCTCTGACCACCCCCCACGTCCCTCTCTGGCCACTCCCACGTCTCTCTCTGACCACCCCTCACGTCTCCAACTCCCCCCCCCCCCCACCGTGTCGCCTGCAGGGGCTTCGACGGCTCCGCCCCACCGCCACGCTCCCCGCTGGGCCCCCAGACGGCCATCGTGCGCTACGACTTCATGGCGAGGAACAGCAACGAGTTGGCGGTGCGCAAGGACGACGTCGTGGAGGTAAAGCGACGATGACGCGGGGGGGGGGGGGGTGGGGAGTGAGTGAGTGAGCACTCAGATTAGAGTGCTAATCCAAGTGCTCGTCGGGAGTGAGTCGTGAGTGAGTGAGCAGAGTTCACGTGTTTCTCTCCCCATGGTGGTCGCCTGGATTTTTCTGTTGCAGCTGCAGCAGCTGCTGCTGCCGCGGGTTCCTTGGTGCGGACCGCTCCCCGCGCCGTGCCAACGACTGCGCCGACCCCCCCGGCGGCGCTCGCTCCCCGTGTCGCGCTCGGCTCGCGTTCTCCGAGGAAGTCCGTCGGTTTAACCGCCCCCCCCCCCCCCGCCCGCCCGCCCGCAGGTGATCGAGAACAGCAAGCAGTGGTGGAAGGTGCGCAGCGTGACGGGGCACGAGGGTTACGTGCCCAACAACATCCTGGACCTGCTCAAGGGCGGTGACGGCGGCGGCATGGGCGGCATGGGTGGCGGCATGGGCGGTCTCTCTGACGAGCCGCTGTACAGCCGAGCCCTGCAGGTGAACCTTGCGCGGTGCTCGCCTCGGAGGGAGGGGTCTCATCAGTGAGCCCTCACAGCTCGCTAACCTCAGGGCCTCATCAGTGAGCCTACGGCTTACCTACTCGGGGTCTCATCAGTGAGCCCCCAAGGCTCTCACGAACCTCAGGGTCTCATCACTTGACCGACTCGCGGTCTCACGAGTGATAGGAATGTGGAATTTCCATTTCACCACACGTGGTAACGTTTCCCATCCCCCGTCGCGACGCGTGGTAATGTGTCCCGTAGCGAAGCGCAGTAACGTCTCCCGTCTGGACGTGCGGTAGCGTTTCCTGTATCCCGTCTCGACGTGTCGTAACGTGTCTCGTAGCGATGTGTGGTAACGTGTCCCGTGTCCCGTCTCGACGCTAGCTCTATATGCCCAAGGAGGAGTTGCAACGCTACAAGGTAACGTCCTCCTCCTCGTCCTCATCCTCCTCGTCCTCCTCCTCCTCGTCGTCGCGTTGTTAACCGCGGCGCTTGCTGTGGTTTGTTTTGAACACCGACGTCCGAGCCGCAATGTTTCCAGTACAGTTACATGTGTAGCAGTATTACACTCTTGCTGTGTTTGCCCCCCCCCACCACCACCACCACGTGACACAGTAACCACGTGGCCACAGCGATGTGCGGCGTAGGAAAGCCCTCCGCTGCCCTACAGGGGTTCGCCCCCCACCCCCCCCCCCCCCTGGTTACTGTTGGGGGGGGGGGGGGGGGGGGGGTATAAGAAGAGCTTTGCGGCTTTTCGTATTTCCCGTGAGCTCTCGCAGAAGAGATTCTAATTCTGAACGAAACATTTTTCATCTGTGACCTGCGAAGAAGCGTCGAGGCACGATTTTGTTGATGACGGCGGTCGGATGAGGTGGCGGGGTTGATCGTTTTTGAAGCCGCGCCAATGCGAGGGGGCCCTCCTGGAGGGTGGGAATGTTAATCTTTTAATATAATTGTACAAGTGTGTCATTCATGATGGCAGAGCTTACGCAGCACGAATGTGGCCTGGTCGTTGCTGTGCCTGGGCTAACCGCCGTAGATCAATTGCGAATCTTGAAATCGAATTTAAAAAGCCTATGTAATGCTGCTACTTTCTACTGCTACTATTACTACTTACTGCTACTATTACTACTTACTGCTACTATTACTACTAATTACTGCATAATGCTACTATTACTTACTGCTACTATTACTACTTACTGCTACTACCTATTACTAATTACTAACTGCTATTACTGCTACTATTACTACTTACTAATTACTAAATGCTGTTACTACTTACTGCTACTAACTATTACTAACTAATTACTACTTAATGCTATTACTACTTACTGCTACTAACCCCTACTACTTACTAATTACTAACTGCTACTATTACTACTTACTGACTGCTACATTACTACTTACTGCTACTAACTATTACTACTTACTAAATACTACTTGCTACCAACTATTAATACTTACTAATTACCAATTGCAACTATTACTACTTGCTACTATTACGACTTAACCACGAGTTTGTGCTGTGTTTTTGCAGTTTCATTCGCGTGCACGTTGAGAGGTCTCCGATTTAACCGTTACCGGCGGCTCCGTCTTTACCCTCTTAAGTCTACAATGGGATATCGCTGAGAGTGGCACCACGGTGGCTAATGAGACGTTGGCTACCTCGCCCGGCACGCAGGAGGTCGTTGGTTCGATCCCGGCCCTAGCGACGCCTGCCGCCGTGTATTTGGAGTTTGCGGTGTCTCTCTCCCCGTGGTCGCGTGGATTTGTCTCCGGGTCCTCCGCTTTTTTTTTCCCCCTCCACGTCTAGAAGCACGCGTTGAGAGTATTTCGTCTGCTGCTGTAAATGTCCACGTGATGACGATGATGAGCCACTTGGTTGAGCTACCAGTTGTGGCCAGGTCGCTGCTGACGAAAGAGCCACAGTCTCTGTCTCTCACGAGGCAGGAGCCCACTGAGCTGAGTGCGATATTGGGTGAACGAGTGGGTTAGTAGGTGGGCTAGTGGTTGGTTGGGTGGGTGTCCGGGTGGGTGGGCGAGTGTCCGTGACCTGCGGTGTGTGCGGTGGTAGCTCAGCCTGGCAGGGACCGCCCGCTAAAGCGTACCGAGTATGCTCCCTCCTTTTCCAGCCACGCAACGCTATGGGGGTGCAGCATTCAGGGAGCAGCCCCTGCAATTGCTTTTCCGTTGGCACTGCTGGTGGAAGCGAGGGCCCGCTGCGCAAGGGGCGAGCGGACTGTTGAGTTTGCCGTGCGTGCTGTGTGCATGTACGTTTGAACTTCTTTCGCCCCGTGCGTAGCCAACCTCGCTAATCGGAGGTGCGTCGTAACGCAACGCCTCTGTGTGCATCCACTTTGTCATTTTCATACTTCCCCCACCCCCCACGCCACCCCGCGTGGTTTTGCCGGAGCCAGCGGTTGGTGGGAGAACTGTCGGAGGTAAAAACTTTGCCGGGTTTCTCATCTTGCTCGAAATTGCGGTGTCCCGTAACGGGAGAAGGGGGGGGGGTGTTTGCCGTGCGTGCTGTGAGACTCACCTGGGGGAGGGAGTTTAGCCGTAGGGTGCTGTGAGACTCACCTGGGGGAGGGAGTTTAGCCGTAGGGTGCTGTGAGACTCACCTGGGGGAGGGAGTTTAGCTCTAGGGTGCTGTGAGACTCACCTGGGGAGGGAGTTTAGCTGTAGGGTGTTGAGACTCACCTGGGGAGGGAGTTTAGCTGTAGGGTGCTGTGAGACTCACCTGGGGGAGGGAGTTTAGCTCTAGGGTGCTGTGAGACTCACCTGGGGAGGGAGTTTAGCTGTAGGGTGTTGAGACTCACCTGGGGAGGGAGTTTAGCTCTAGGGTGCTGTGAGACTCACCTGGGGAGGGAGTTTAGCCGTAGGGTGCTGTGAGACTCACCTGGGAAGGGAGTTTAGGTGCTGTGAGACTCACCTGGGGAGGGAGTTTAGCTGTAGGGTGTTGAGACTCACCTGGGGAGGGAGTTTAGCTGTAGGGTGATGTGAGACTCACCTGGGGAGGGAGTTTAGCTCTAGGGTGCTGTGAGACTCACCTGGGGAGGGAGTTTAGCTGTAGGGTGTTGAGACTCACCTGGGGAGGGAGTTTAGCTCTAGGGTGTTGTGAGACTCACCTGGGGAGAGAGTTTAGCCGTAGGGTGCTGTGAGACTCACCTGGGGAGGGAGTTTAGCCGTAGGGTGCTGTGAGACTCACCTGGGGAGGGAGTTTAGCCGTAGGGTGCTGTGAGACTCACCTGGGGAGGGAGTTTAGCCGTAGGGTGCTGTGAGACTCACCTGGGGAGGGAGTTTAGCTGTAGCGTGCTGTGAGACTCACCTGGGGAGGGAGTTTAGCTCTAGGGTGCTGTGAGACTCACCTGGGGAGGGAGTTTAGGTGCTGTGAGACTCACCTGGGGAGGGAGTTTAGCTGTAGCGTGCTGTGAGACTCACCTGGGGAGGGAGTTTAGCTCTAGGGTGCTGTGAGACTCACCTGGGGAGGGAGTTTAGGTGCTGTGAGACTCACCTGGGGAGGGAGTTTAGCTGTAGGGTGCTGTGAGACTCACCTGGGGGAGGGAGTTTAGCTGTAGGGTGCTGTGAGACTCACCTGGGGGAGGGAGTTTAGCTGTAGGGTGCTGTGAGACTCACCTGGGGAGGGAGTTTAGCCGTAGGGTGTTGTGAGACTCACCTGGGGAGAGAGTTTAGCTCTAGGGTGCTGTGAGACTCACCTGGGGAGGGAGTTTAGCTCTAGGGTGCTGTGAGACTCACCTGGGTCATGGCCTTGAGAGTGGCCACAGTGGCTTACGCAGCGCCCTGGTCGTGTTGTGTTGTTGTGGTGTTGTGTTGTTGCATGGTGTGTTGTGTATATTTGCCTGGGCAGTCCGTGGGCCACCCCCGGCCATAGACTAGGAGATGATTCCCGGTGCCTTGCTGCTGGTGTGTGTGTGCGTGCGTGTCTGCGGGAGTGTGCGTACGTGGTGCGTGTGAGCGTTTTTGCGTGTGCGGGAGTGTGTGCGTGGTGCGTGTGAGGTCACTCAAACACGACCTTGCGCTTGCGCGTCAGTCGCGTTACCCTGACCGGTCTCGCGCTCGTGTGTGTGTGCGTGCGCCCGTGTGTGCGTGCATGTGTGCGTGCGTATGTGTGCGCCCGTGTGTGTGTGTATGTGCGTGTGTGCGTGCGTGTGCGTGTATGTGCGCGCGTGTATGTGCGCGCGTGTATGTGTGCGCGTGTATGTGTGCGCGTGTATGTGCGCGCGTGCCTGTGCGCGCGTGCCTGTGCGCGCGTGCCTGTGCGCGCGTGCCTGTGTGTGCGTGCCTGTGCGTGTATGTGTGTGTATGTGCGTGTATGTATGTGCGTGTGTGCGTGCGTGTCCGTATGTGTATGCGTGTGTGTATGTGCGCCCGTGTGTATGTGTGTGCGCCCGTGTGTGTGCGCGCGCGTGCGTGAGCGTGCGTGCATGTGCGTGTATGTGTGTGCGTGCATGTGTGCGTGCGTGCGCATGTGCATGCGTGTGCGTGTGCGTGCATGCGCGTGTGCGTATGCGCGTGTATGTATGTGCGTGCGTGCGTGCATGTGCGTGCGTGCGCGTGCGCGCGCCCGTCCGTGCGTGCGCCCGTCCGTGCGTGCGCGCCCGTGTATGTGCTTGTGTATGTGTATGTGTGCCTGTATGCGTGCGTGCATGCGCGCGTGTGTATATGTGTGTGTATATGTATGTGCATGTGCGTGTGCATGCGTGTGCGTGCATGCGTGCATGCGCGCGCGCCCGTGTGTGCGTGCGCGCCCGTGCTTGTGCGTGTGCGTATGTGTGCGTGCGTGTGCGTGTATGTGCGCGCGTGTATGTGCGTGCGTATGTGTGTGCGCGTGTATGTGTATGCGCGTGTATGTGCGCGTGGGTATGTGTGTGTGTGTATGTATGTGTGTATGTGTGCGCGTGCGTGTGTGCGCGTGCATGTGTGTGCGTGCGTGTATGTGTGTATGTGCGTGTATTAGTTACTGGGGGTCGGAGATTGGATCATTAGGGGAAAAGACGGTGATCCAATCTCCGACCCCCAGGAACAGGTTCGCAGATTTGCTGAGCATTTCTGTGAGGTCCTGGGGGAGGGAAAATCCCTCAGCCAGGAAAACATCGTGGCACAAAGTGGGGATGACCCTGCTGAGGCTGCGGTGCCTCAAATATTGGAAGAAGTCACCCCCTGTGAGTGGCTGGCTGAGGTGCCATCTGCTGAGGAAGTATTGAAGGCGATCCGGAGTCTGCGACCAGGAAAGGCAGCGGGCAGAGATGATCTCCCAAGCGAAATGCTGAGGGAGGGTGGCGTTTGTGCACAGACTGCCCTATATGACATCATAACAACAGTCTGGACCACTGGACGGGTTCCGCAGGATTGGAAGGATGCCCTGGTGGTCCCCCTTTTTAAGAAGGGGGACCGCACAGACTAACAACTACAGGGGCATCTCACTCCTCAGTGTGCCGGGAAAGGTCCTGGCAAGGATTATTCAGCATCGCCTTGCCAGGCACGCTGAGGAGAGGCTTGTGGAGCCCCAATGCGGTTTCAGGAAAGGGCGGTCCTGCACAGATGCCATATTTTCTGTGCGTCTGCTACAGCAGAGGTGTAGGGAATTCCAACAAGACCTACATCTCTGCTTTATTGACCTGGTCAAGGCCTATGATACCATCAGTAGGCCTGGGCTCTGGGTCGTTCTTCGTGCTTTTTGAGTACCTGACCCTCTGCTCACGATCATTAAGGACCTTCATGATGGTGAGCGGGCCTGGGTAAAACTACGTGGCCGGGAGTCAGAGCCATTCCCTGTACACCTTGGGGTGCGACAGGGATGTCCTCTGGCTCCCACATTATTTAACATCTATTTTGACCACGTAGTTCGTGAAGCCTTCAATAGCTGTACAGGGGGAATCTCCATATGGTACAGATATAATGGGAGGCTAATCGATGCCCGGGTGCGGTCAAGGGATGGCTCCCTATTGCTCAACCACGTTATGTATGCTGATGATTTGGTAATAGCTGCTCAGTCAGAGGAGGAGTTGGAGACGCTGCTGCTGAGACTGGAGCGTGCCACTAAGAGGTGGGGCCTTACCATCAGCCCCACCAAAACTAAGCACCTGCCTGGGTATTTTGTACCATCGGACACTCCACCCCCACAACTCCCAATCGGTGATGGGGCAGTTGTGGAGAGAGTGGAGCGTTTCCCATACCTGGGCAGTGTGCTTATGACTGGCTCCAGTTTAACAGCAGAAGTCTCACTCCGAATCAGTCCAGCGGCAATATCTTTTCATCGGTTGCGTAACGCTGTGTGGAAGCTACCTGGTCTATCGCTCCGCACAAAGCTTCAGGTCTTCTCGGCCACGGTCATTCCCTCCCTTCTCTACGCTTGCGAAACGTGGACCCCCCCTAATGGAACATCTTCGCCGGTTAGAAACATTTAGGCTGGCCTGCCTACGATCCATCCTGGGTTTAACCAGACTGGATTGTGTGAGCTCACAAATCCTTGAAAGATCTGGGCAGAGTCCCATCGGTGAGCTCCTCCGGCAGGCAAGGCTGCGATGGCTGGGTCATGTAGCCCGCATGCCCAGCCACCGCATGCCGAAACAGCTTTTGTTCGGCCTGATTGAGGGGGCTAAGCGGGCGCGGCACGGGTTAGAGAAGAGATGGAGTGATGTGGTACAGGAGGACGTGGAGCTGAGTGGACTTGCCGATGACTGGTACCAGCGGTGTCAAGATCGGCCTCTGTGGAGGAGGCTCGTGAAGGATGCTACTGGGCAGTTGGAGGCAGTCGCCCTCCAACAACAACGGAGGGCGGAGGAGCGACGCTCAGAACAACGAGCGGAGCGCCGGGTGGCTAAAGCACAGCAGGTTGGCACAGGTGGTGCATCAGCCAGTCATCTCAGTCAGTCGACCCGTGGCACCTGGGTCTGCCCCGTGACCTCCTGCCAGCGGGGGTTCGACACTTCACGTGGCCTCACGGTGCACATAGCCTGGCACAAGCGTCGTGGTGACGTCACCGCCACTTAGTGGCGAATGGCGGTTGTTGTTGTGCGTGTATGTGTGTGTATGTGTGTGTGTATGTATGTGTGTGTATATATGTGTGCGTGTGTGTGTATATGCGTGTGCGTGCGTATGTGTGCGTGTATGTATGTGTGTGCGTGCGTATGTGTATGTGCGTGTGTGTGCGTGTATGTGTGTGCGTGTATGTGTGTGCGTGCGCGTGAGCATGCGTGTGTGCGCGCGTGCGCGTGCGCGTGCGCGCGCGTGTGCATGTGTGCGCGCTTGTGCATGTGTGCGTGTGCACGTGTATGTATGTGAATGTATGTGAATGTATGTATGTGAATGTATGTGTGTGTATGTATGTATGTGTGTATGTGTGTGTGTGTATATGTGTGTGTATGTGAATGTATGTATGTGTGTATGTGAATGTATGTATGTGTGTATGTGAATGTATGTGTGTGTGTGTATGTGAATGTGTGTGTGTGTGCGCGTGTGTAGAAACAGCGCACAGACAGTGGCAACCGCTATCCGGGAGGCCCAGCGTCCCCGGGCCTCCCGTTGCCGCCCAACGGCCTCCAGCGGCAGGGCAGCGGGGACTCGGCGAACGCCCTGGGGCCCGAACCGCCACGCAGCAACAACAACAACAACAACCAGCGTGACCCGGCCCAGCAGCATGGTGAGTGTGGGGTGGGGGGACGGTGGTGGTGGTGGTGGTGGTGGCACCACGGCGGTGGTGGCACCACGGTGGTGGTGGTGGCGGCACCGCGGCGGTGGTGGTGGCACCGCGGCGGTGGTGGTGGCGGCACCACGTCGTCCAGTAACCCACTCATTTAAAAACGAGATCCCTCATGACACGGGAAGTGGTTGGAACCAAGCGGCTAACTCCCAGTTTACGCCGCTCGCTTAATTGCGAGGCCGGCGACGTCGCTACCACCGCAGGGTGGTGACAAGTCCGCCCGCTGCGTTGCCGTCCGTGCGTGCGCAGTGCAAGAAGAGCTGCTGAAGCGGCTGTCCGGGCAGAACGTGAACAAGCGCAACTTCATGATCCCGCGCAGCAAGGGCACCGCCGTGGTGCTGAGCTTCGACTCGTCGCCCGAGGACGTCAAATCGTGGCTCGTGGCCAAGGGATTCAGCAACCTGTGAGTCGCCGCCGCCGCCACCCTCGTCGCGGTCGGCTACGGCGCGCAGCGCGAAGAGGTTCGGCGGGCGCGCCCATCGTGCCACCTCGTCCGCCCGTCTCGTGCCACCTCGTCTGCCCATCTCGTGCCACCTCGTCCACCCGTCTCGTGCCACCTCGTCCACCCGTCTCGTGCCACCTCGTCCGCCCATCCCGTGCCACCTCGTCTGCCCGTCTCGTGCCACCTCGTCCGCCCATCTCGTGCCACCTCGTCCATCCATCTCGTGCCACCTCGTCCATCCATCTCGTGCCACCTCGTCTGCCCATCCCGTGTCACCTCGTCCGCCCGTCTCGTGCCACCTCGTCCGCCCATCTCGTGCCACCTCGTCCACCCATCCCGTGCCACCTCGTCTGCCCGTCTCGTGCCACCTCGTCCGCCCATCTCGTGCCACCTCGTCCGCCCATCTCGTGCCACCTCGTCCATCCATCCCGTGCCACCTCGTCCACCCATCCCGTGCCACCTCGTCCACCCATCGTGCCCCCTCGTCCGCCCGTCTCGTGCCCCCTCGTCTGCCCGGCTGTTTCACCGCCGGTTTGAACGTTGGGGGCGTGGCGGCTCAGCTCCGATATCGGCCGGGGCAGCTGGGCTTGAGGGGATCGTCGGTCTCGTGAATGAGGTAGAATAGTCAACTTGTAAATGCAGCCGCCGCACGGGCAGCCATTCGCTCTCGGAGAGAGGGAGGAGATGGCTCAGAGAGAGGCTACGTGGGGTACGCACACACACACACACACACTTGTGCGTGTCGAGCCCAAAGCTACTGAAATGTGCGCGCTCGCACAACGCCACGCGGCTGCTGGGATGTGTAGAGATCATTTATGTTTGGAGGGATGTACGAGGGAAGGAGCCAAATTCCTGCTCCTTTGTCTTGTGTTGCTTGCGTACTCTCTCGCGAACTCTCACTCTCCCTCGCAAACTCTCACTCTCCCTCGCAAACTCTCACTCTCCCTCGCAAACTCTCACTCTCCCTCGCAAACTCTCACTCTCCCTCGCAAACTCTCACTCTCCCTCGCAAACTCTCACTCTCCCTCGCAAACTCTCACTCTCCCTCGCAAACTCTCACTCTCCCTCGCAAACTCTCACTCTCCCTCGCAAACTCTCACTCTCCCTCGCAAACTCTCACTCTCCCTCGCAAACTCTCACTCTCCCTCGCAAACTCTCACTCTCCCTCGCAAACTCTCACTCTCCCTCGCAAACTCTCACTCTCCCTCGCAAACTCTCACTCTCCCTCGCAAACTCTCACTCTCCCTCGCAAACTCTCACTCTCCCTCGCAAACTCTCACTCTCCCTCGCAAACTCTCACTCTCCCTCGCAAACTCTCACTCCCCCTCGCAAACTCTCACTCTCCCTCGCAAACTCTCACTCTCCCTCGCAAACTCTCACTCTCCCTCGCAAACTCTCAGTCTCCCTCGCAAACTCTCACTCTCCCTCGCAAACTCTCACTCTCCCTCGCAAACTCTCACTCTCCCTCGCAAACTCTCACTCTCCCTCGCAAACTCTCACTCTCCCTCGCAAACTCTCACTCTCCCTCGCAAACTCTCACTCTCCCTCGCAAACTCTCACTCTCCCTCGCAAACTCTCACTCTCCCTCGCAAACTCTCTTTCGCATGTGGTACTTTACTTTCTCCCGCGTGCTCTGCGTCGTACTCGCTGCACGACGGGGCCGCTGTAACGTGGCTGTGGCTGTGGTGTTGTTCAGGACCGTGGACAGCCTGGGGGTTCTGACCGGTGCTCAGATCTTCTCTCTCAACAAGGAGGAGCTGAAGGCTGTTTGTCCGGACGAGGGGGCGAGGGTCTACAGCCAGATCACTGTGCAGAAGAGCGCGCTCGAGGTACGTGCACACAGACAAAGATCCCCCACCACCACCCCCGTGTAGCCTTCACAGACTGTTGGGGCAAGTGCTGTTCACGAGCAGCAGCAGCAGCAGCAGCAGCGATGAAGGCTACCGGCACTGTGGCACGCAAGAGCGGGTGGGTGGCCAGCAACTACGCACGGCCGCCTTTGTCTCCCTCAGTGGCGATGTTTACACACCGTACCAGGTACTTATTTGAGGCCGAGTCAACCTAGGGGAGGCCCAGGACTGGTTAAAGTAATCGTCACCGGTGTTGGCCGTGAGCGGGAATCGAACTCGGGTCGCCGGGTTCGTAGTGCAGCGCGCTAACCGCTGCACCACCGCTCCCAACATAGACACAGACAGACACACACACAGACATACCCACAGACAGACACACCCACACACAGACACACGAGCCTCTGAGAAAGCTTCACCCCACCCGTTGCTTTGTACCATCGGTGACGTTTGCTGCGATTCCGCCCGTTCAGCCCGGGGGTGGCCTCGCCGAGTCTCGACGACTCCCCCCCTTGACGACCACGCCTGACGCTGTGCCCCCCACTGCCCCCCACCCCTCAGAGCGCGCGTGGAACGTCGGAGCTGGAGGAAATCATGAAGAAACGGAAAGAGAAGATCAGCTCGGTTGATAAGAACGGCAGCGAAGACGTCACCGCCTAGCCCCCCCCTCCCCTCGCCAAAGGCCCATCAACACCCCCACCCCTGCCCCCCACAGCCCCCCACTTACTGCCACTTTCACAGCTGTTGTCCAGCTTATTCTCACGTCCGACACATCCGGCGATTCTATTCCCGTCGTCCCAGAGCGAGAGAGGGGGTGACGCTAGTTTAGAGTCACGGTCGACCATCGCCGCCGTAGCGCTTGGGGGGGGGGTCTGGCGCCGGGCGTTGTGCCGTTGAGGGTCTCCACATGGGTCGGGTTGACGCGATTGGCTGAGCGGGGTTAATCTGATTGGCTGAGCAGGGTTAATCTGATTGGCTGAGCGGGGTTTATTCCGATTGGCTGAGCGGGGTTAATCTGATTGGCTGAGCGGGGTTAATCTGATTGGCTGAGCAGGGTTAATCTGATTGGCTGAGCGGGGTTTATTCTGCATTAGCTGAGCGGGGTTAATCTGATTGGCTGAGCGGGGTTTATTCCGATTGGCTGAGCGGGGTTTATTCTGCATTAGCCGAGCGGGGTTTATTCGCATTAGCCGAGCGGGGTTTATTCTGATTAGCTGAGCAGGGTTTATTCTGATTGGCCGAGCGGGGTTTATTCTGCATTAGTTGAGCTGGGTTTATTCTGATTGGCTGAGCGGGGTTTATTCTGATTAGCCGAGCTGGGTTTATCCTGATTGGCTGAGCGGGGTTTATTCTGTATTAGCTGAGCGGGGTTTATTCTGCATTAGCTGTACTACCCGGCTTCGCCCGGGACTTGGATCAACAACGCCCGGCCGCCTTTGTCTCCCCAGTGGCGATGTTCACACACCACAGCAGTTACTCGTTTGAGGCTGAGTCGACCTAGGGGAGGCCCAGGACCAGTTGAAATAATCGTCACCGGTGGTGGCCGTGAGCGGGAATCGAACTCGGGTCGCCGGGTTCATAGCGCGTTCACCACTACACTACAATGCGTGACGCTTCCACACGCGCGGGTCACATGACAGATTTGACGTCACAGCTCACTTTGCCGTGCAAAAAATATAAGCATTATTGAGCTCCCACCCCCCCCCCCCCCCCCCAAAAATAAGTATATTTTTTAATGTTTGCATGGTGTACAGTCTGGAAAGTACCCACATGGCAAATGTCAAGTTTGTTGCATGTCGGGAAGTACGCTAAACATTTTTAACAGACACACACACACAATCACAACTTTGCCTTTTATATAAATGGAGATTAGCCGAGCGGGGCGGGGTTTTACCTGCGTTAGCCGAGCGGAGTTTATTCTGCATTGCCCTCTCAAGGAAGACTCTTGGCCGGTTGAATCGTGGCGTATCCCCTCGCGCGGTGCGTTGAACTCGTCTCGCGCAACCGTGCCCAGCGATGGCGGCGTCCTCGTCCGAGATGCGGGCGGTGGGTGGGGGGAATGGCGGCAAAACTGAACGCGACAGAAAGCAAGAGGGGGAAAAAAAAACAAATTCGTGACCAACCGACGCAGACCCAAGGTGTCGTCGGGGTCGGGATCGGAGCCACGACCTCCTGCGTACCAGGCGAGGTAGTTAACATCTACTGGCTACCGGTTGCACCATCTAGCCGGGCCCACGGCTTAGGCCTGTCCCCTGTAACGTCAGGGCTGATGGGAAGCAACAGCAGCAGCAGCAGCAGCATTAGCACGCCTCCGATTAGCGCGGTTGGCTACGTACGGCGCGAAGGAAGTTTGCCGCACGCAACGAAGCTGGGCTTCGTTGCGGTCCGCGCGGAGTCCCTGCCGAGCGAGGCGACGGGTGTGGAGACTTATTATTCCGTGGCGTTTGAAACGGGGAGCTCCGTCCGAGTACCCACGAGGTCGCCGCTCCACCTGTGCCGCTCGCCGACTCTGCGTGCGTGCGTGGCGTCCGCTCTGGGGAGTGCTGCTTGCAGCTACGGTACACGCTCACGGAACAACCAACAACCAGCAGTGACGATTACATGAACCGGTTCCGGGCCTCCACCTAGGTCGACTCGGCCTCAAATGAGTACCTGGTGCGGTGTGTAGTGAACATCGCCACTGGGGAGACGAAGGCGGCCGGGCGTCGTGCTGGCCACCCACCCCCCCTCGTGCGCCGTACTGGCCTTCATAGGGCGCTAGCTAACAGCACTTGCCCCAACAGTCCGTTATGGCTACACGGGGCCTCTTTGCCTTTGCGTGTAGCCGGTCGGCACTGGGATACCTGCTCCACCGCAGTCCCAGACACACCGTGGACATTTCCCATTCGGCAGCGGCTCCGTTTCCCCGCCCGACCCTCGATCGCCACGGTCTGAGCTACGTACGGCACGAAAGAAGTTTGTGGTACATCCAGGAAGGGTTTGGGATCCCACTGCTTTAGAGATTTGCATAGTTTAGACAGTTGTGTGCGCGCGTGTGTGTGTCTGTGCGTGTGTCTGTGTATACTGGAGGAGCGGTAGCGGTTAGCGCTACGAACCCAGCGGCCCGAGTTCGATTCCTGCTCACGGCCAACAACCAGGGGACGAATATCTGAACCTGTTACGGGCCTCCCTTAGGTCGACTCGGCCTCAAATGAGTACCTGGTGCGGTGTGCAGTAAACATCGCCACTGGACACCCAACCCGCTCATGTGCTGTGCCGGCCTTCATTGGTGCTGCTCGCTAACAGCACTTGCCCCAACAGTCCGCTAAGGCTATACGGGGGGGAGGGCAGGAATCTTTGCCTCTGCTTATATATACTGTATATAATAATTTGGGAGGTGAGTTTACCCATTGTCGCAGCGATTGGGGCTTAAGATAATTTCCGTAATTCTATTAAGCGTCTGTGGGAATAAGCGCTCCGCACGGCTAATCGTTTGCGTTTTCGCGACGGATATATACATACACACACATCCACATACACACACACACATCCACATATACACACACACACAACTCGATTGACGGACAAATAACGACATTTCTTCCCGTATATTAAACATTCCATCAGCCGCGCCTGCTCTTGTTTCGACGGCATCGCCTATGACACAGGCAAACTCTGGAGCGGTTTCGACGTGCATGGGTCTCATCAGCAGCAGCGTCAGGCTCACATAAAATCCATGCTCGCGAACTGCCCAGACGTTGTTAGCGAGAGATCGCCCATCCCCATGTAAGATACGATGCCTCGTTTGACCACAAAAACCAGATAGTATGTAACGCAATAATCAGTCGTGTCCGTTGCTGAGAATATTAATCAAATCGGCTGACGATTTGCCTCTTGTACCGATTCCCTGCGGAGGGGGAGGTGTGGTCACCTGCCCAGCTGTTGTGTGTCGTGGAGGGGGTCGTGCACAATGTATCTACACACAAATTAGGCGTGAGTCTCGTATAGTTCCAGCATTGACTCTGGGTCCGCTGAGATTAAAGGTCTGCGTCGAGGCCTGTGCGTCTGCCAGTGACTCCGACTACTACGACACACACACACTCGCGTGTTTTTAAGACGTTAAGCTATTTCACGTGAACACGATTCCACGAGCAGCACACGTGATGTGACTCCCTGTATATAATAATGATGATGATGATCGAGGTAGCCACGTGTCGTGGACGAGCAATAATAAAACGCACGGATGCACGTTCACAGCGTCACACCGCCATGTGGCGATGCCTCCACTCTGTCCCCCACCCCCCGCACCTCCGATGAGCACGGTTCGGCTACGTACGGTGCGAAGGAAGTTCAACATACAACATACTGCTAACCCCTTATCAGTGCCCCGTACCTTAGACAAATTCAGACCGTGCCGCCTTGTAAAATCTCAACGTTCATCCTACAAAGTCCCCATCAAAGGGAGAACACAAATTGTTGTTGCCCGCATTGAAACGGCTGTGAGCCGAATGTGCCTGAAAACTAAATTTCCCTGCACTAGAATACGCGGCAAACCGTGTGGGTTGACCGCTGTGTACACACGGTGGTGGTGGTGATCTGCATGATAAGGACGTGGGGGATGTTGATGTCAATAATCACGATTGACATTTGTAAGCCGCGTGCCTCCCGTGGACGCTGCGAGTGTCGCCAATCAGGGAAATGAGACGGAGCCAGTAGCGACAAGTGGGACACGCTTTAGCTTATTTCATTTTATACCCGCAACCCTCCCTAGCTAGCACCACCTTCATCGACATTATGGTGGGGCCCCCGTTGCACGCGACACCACTAATGGCCGTGTGCGGAATGTAACCAAAACCACTGCCGGTATATTCCAAATGTATCGGGTTGACTTAGAAGTCAATCTCTACATTGTCAAAGGGCTAGATGCTTACGACTTCCCCGGAGGAGTGCATGCATCACAAGCCACTATAGCAACCCACAATGACCCTCGCAACAACACACAACCACCAACACCGCCACACAACCACCAACACCCTCACACAACCACCAACACAACCACCAACACCGCAACACACAACCACCAACACCGCAACACACAACCACCAACACCGCAACACACAACCACCAACACCGCAACACACAACCAGCAACACCAACACACCCACCAACACCGTCACACAAGCACCAACACCCTCACAAGCACCAACACCCTCACAAGCACCAACACCGCCACACAACCACACGACGACCGCGGCTTCACCGACTTCCTCCACCACGAATGCTGGTGGAGGACACAACACTCAGTGGATCAGTCCCAGGCACCTCGAACAGGATCAGTCCCAGCCATCTCGAGCAGGATCAGTCCCAGCCATCTCGAGCAGGATCAGCCGCGTGCCTCCCGTGGACGCTGCGAGTGTCGCCAATCAGGGAAATGAGACGGAGCCAGCAGCGACAAGTGGGACACGCTTTAGCTTATTTCAGTTCATACCCGGAACCCTCCCTAGCTAGCACTACCTTCTTCATCTACATTATGGTGGGGCCCCCGTTGCACGCGACACCCCTAATGGTTGTGTGCGGAATGTAACCAAAACCACTGCCGGCATATTCCAAATGTATCGGGTTGACTTAGAAGTCAATCTCTACACAAACCTTACATTGTCAAAGGGCTAGATGCTTACGACTTCCCCGGAGGAGTGCATGCATCACAAGCCACTATAGCAACCCACAATGACCCTCGCAACACCGTCACACAACCACCAACACCGTCACACAACCACCAACACCGTCACACAACCACCAACACCGTCACACAACCACCAACACCGTCACACAACCACCAACACCAGCAACACCGCCACACAACCGCACGACGACCGCGGCTTCACCGACTTCCTCCACCACGAACGCTGGTGGAGGAAACAGAAAACTCAGTGGATCAGTCCCAGCCATCTCGAGCAGGATCAGTCCCAGGCACCTCGAGCAGGAGCAGTCCCAGCCATCTCGAACAGGATCAGTCCCAGCCATCTCGAACAGGATCAGTCCCAGCCATCTCGAACAGGATCAGTCCCAGCCATCTCGAGCAGGATCAGTCCCAGGCACCTCGAGCAGGATCAGTCCCAGCCATCTCGAACAGGATCAGTCCCAGCCACCTCGAACAGGATCAGTCCCAGGCACCTCGAGCAGGATCAGTCCCAGCCATCTCGTACAGGATCAGTCCCAGCCACCTCGAACAGGATCAGTCCCAGCACAGCAGCCGCCCTGAACAAGTCGAGGAGCGGAATAACTCCCCCACTCCCTCCCTTGGTTGCTCGCGACGAGGCCTTTACTGGGGCCCTTCCCCCACCTGATGATCACGGCGTGCCCACGAGCCAATCCAACCCCACACACCTGCAGCCACTCTCGCACAAAGCCACCCGCGCGAGTCCCTCGCTTCTCCCCAATCAAAGAGACACCCTGCCCCTCCCCCCCCACCCCCCCAAAATCATCACTCCGAC